CGTTACCATTCCACCGTACTTTAGCCAACTCCGTTAACAATTGACTCTGCGACATTGTTCTGTCAAACCGCTCCAAAAGCCTGCGCTGTGCTGTCGCCCAGTCACTTAGGTCGATAGTTCTCCGTAGATACATCCAATACGTTAGAGCCGGGCCCACAAGGTTTTCTATAAGTGCATTTCCCCACTCGCGCGGTTCCACTCCCATCTGGGTGTACCGGCGCTCGATGCGCAGCAGAAAGGCCTGCATAATGCTGCCGTCTTCTGGTAGTATGGGAGTCGTTGCGCCGGATTCCACGGTCCCCCGCTTAACAGTTCTTATCACACTCATAGTGGACTCGAATTGGTCCCACGTGGCGAAGGGACTGTCCCCTGGCAAAACATTGGTCATAGGTATCACCTGTGGGGGCGCCTCCTTATGCCCATGCGGCCGCTCTGCCACGGTGGGCTTCGGAGTCGCGTGGCGATGATGGGCTGGCGTCCCACTCGGCATTTTGTTGACTGACATTGTAGAAGTCTCCTGCGGTGTGGGGCCGATAACGCGTCCGTTGCGGGGATGCATCCCATACTGAGCGAAGATTTCTAGGCATGATTTATTAAGACATAGTATTTCTACTCCCAAGTCCGGAAAGAACAAAGATTTCATTCCCGGAACAGCCCCCAAATGTAGTGCACAGTGCCTACTGCTGCGACTACGCTGCTACCTGCCCCTCGAGCAGGGCCTACAAACGGCACCTAGCGTAGGCCCATTTCCTGGAAACTGTAGCTCATTTCTATCGAAATACAATAATTCTTAACTTTCAAAATCTGTTTTTTCGATTCGCCCCACTCTGGGAGCTCGCCTCCTAGGCCCTATGGGGAGGAGGCCTGCACTGGTGCCGGCGCTATCGCCAGCCCCAGTCTCCACACATTTTCCACACATTTCACGTTTGCGTATTAATTCACGGACAATTTGCCTTACTTTTATCATAGTAGGAGGGTCCTGTCCACCTCCAGTGTTGTGACCCCTTGTAGGTCGCTAGCTAGCTATCATCTATAGGTCACTAGCAAGCCCCATTGTAGTGCCTGTGCACTACAAGTGCAGGCCTCCTCCCAATATGGCCTAGGAGGCGAGCTCCCAGAGTGGGGCGAATCGAACAGACAGACTTTGAAGAACTTAAGAATTATTGCATATCGATAAAAATAAGCTGCAGTTTCCAGGAAATAGGCCTACGTTAGGTGCCGTTTGTAGGCGCTGCTCGAGGGGCAGGTAGCAGCGTAGTCGCAGCAGTAGGCGCTGTGCACTACAAAAAATGCCTGCGAATGCTCTAAGATTGGGGCTGCCGACAACGCCTGTACAGGTGCGCGTCACATCCTCACCGGACCAGCACAGCAAAAAGAAGAAGAAATGACTTTTATGAAAATATGGTTTAGAGAACTCGAAACAAAACGGTCTTTTTAATACATTTGTAGACATTAATACATTTGAAGACGTTACGCGACCGATGCGTCGGTAGTAGAGAATATTTCTTAGAACGCCCGAGTTGTGGGCAGTGCAACATCGAACGCGCTGCAGAGAACGCAGTGTACTACACTTACCCGTGTATCTCTCGCAGGCTTCCTCTTACGTGCGAGCCTTGAGTTCCCGTGAAGGGCACCCCTCCTGGCTCTTCCTTTGAGTACAACATACGTCATGCCGTATGGTCTGCCGTTCGGAGGGTGGCGTGCTCTGTCACTTCTGCCTGCCTGAAATATGTTGAACCGTTTGGCTGCTTCACCAAAGCAGGAGTGTAATTCGTTCCATAGGCTCCCTTTCGTTAGGACCCAACACAGCTCGAGTTGTGCTAAACCTAAGTAATGTACCATAGACCCTGATATGCGTACATTCTCTCCTCGTCCAACGATCTCCGCAGAATTAGCCATGTACTTCGGGTGGCCTGGCTTCCAATTAGCAGCAATATGCCAGATGAAGGCTGTGCAGCTGATAATGCAGAAACATAAGAGTACGTCATGCCTTTAGTTTGCTCAGTCCTCCATGCTCGTAATTGTATTCTCTAGGTAGATCCAGTGTACCAAAGCAACACCTAAATTATACACCTAAATTATCCGTTTGGTCGCTGCTTCAGTAGCGTTAGTCTAGGCCCATCTTCGTGAACTATGCCTCTGCCGCACTGGGGGTTGCCCTAAGGGCGCTGCACCCTTTGTGTAGCAGCAGCTTTGATGACGCTCTGGCCCGTCGTTTAGGCTTAAATGGAAATGAAAGCCCCGCAGCTGCTCGTACTCCTGGCTATCTACCTACCCTGGTCCATTTGCCCAGGGGTTTCTACTTGTTGCTTCTTCAGCCAACGAGTCGCAGAATCTCAGCAGTATTTTGTGAACCCCGATTTCACGAGGTGCTTGACTTGGCGCGAACACTTGGGGTATACGACCTTGTGTCCCAACTACCCTCCCGTTCCACAAATAAATGGCTGATGAAAGTCGGAATACTGGACACTAAAGGAGCTGGGGCTTTAAAATTCTAAATTGGCTCAGTGCTTGTGCTACGAGACTCCAGGAAATTCGATTCCTGTATTGCGACGCAGAGACTTGTGAGATAAACGAAATTTGGGTACCACGTGTTTCTTCCCTTCAGGCTACATAGATGTATGTCTGGCACTACTCGCTAAAGAGACCATTTATGCTTTGTAAGAGTACAAAATTTTCGATTCTAAGTGTATCTTCCAGAGAGAACGCATCTATCTATCCCAGATATTTCTCCGTTCTGGCATTGCCCTGCTGTCTTTTAACAAGCACAGCCCGCATGCTTGGCTGCAGACTGCATGGAGGTTTTTCGCCGCAAAGAGCTCTACGTGCATGGTGAATTATCCATTTTACTGTGTCGATGTAGGTCCTCTCAACTGTATTGCCGTAGTGCTATTGCTAGGCTATACTGTAGCGCTGAGCAACGAGACCGTGTTCATCACGTCGTAGAGTCGGATCGAGAAAAGATAAACCAGCACTTTATTTAAGAGGTATAAAAAAATGGTTTTGTTCAGTACGGAAGTGCCGGAAGTGCCGGTCAGTTTCAAAATGGCAGTCCCGCACCACGTGTGAGACATTGCAGCTGCTTCGCGCAAGCGGAAATTGGGACAACAGCGGCTTTGACCTTGCACGTTAATTCATAAATCTTGGAGAATTTCCAAAGTTTGCAAGATTATGCCCACACCGCTGAAAGAGGCTAAGGAAGGCTAACATCGATGCCTATGGGAAGGATCCTCTGAGCATTCTGTAGCACCTCCTCAGTGTCGCGACGAGCGCTTTCAGTGCTTTCTTCCTTCGAAGCCGCATCAAGGTTTAAACGAGAGGCGAATTCCAGTGAAAACTTCTTGATGTCCAAGTACTACCAGTGCTGCATACTGTGTTGTCTACGGCTGTCTTGTGGAGCAGCCGGCTGTAACCTCGACACCACAACGACTGCCTATTCCTCAGCTTTGCCCTGTTCGAAGATAATCTGAACGGCATGTGACTGGCCAAATTTCACGAATGATGGTTCCATCTTTTCCAAATTCTACCAGCGCCGTACCTAGCGTCGAGTAGGACCTTAGAAAACGCTCACCTAGGGCTGAGCAAAATTATGTGGCTCTAAAGTCTTCTTCTTTATTCTTAAAGCATTACAATAATTATTAATTGTTATTTCCTGGGTGTTCAAGCTTGGTGAAGCCCTCCGGTACACAGCAGAGCACAAGAAGTTATCAATGCCATGTCCTGCGAGTCCAATGGGCACAGCCATTTTGTGCAAATTTGCATTGGAACACTTTTGGCTCTAAACAATATATATTTAGTCAACATATTGAGTGCAACTCGTGAAGTCTAAATACGTTTGAAGTTGGACGTCAGTAAACGGACATGCAGCTCGTCAACTACTGCAGCTTTGGCTTGAGGCGCTCCTAAATTGAGTAGCTAAACTCAAAAACAGAAATACATTAACAAAAAAAGTCAAATTTATTTTTCCATTGCGCTTTTGTCACTCGCCGCCGCCGCGGATTACTCGTGGCGCGCAGGACGCAGACCCACACAGCCCCCTGTGGTGAAACTCCGCAGGCGTGGAATTGAGGGTTTCAAATGAGTAAATTAATAGTGCAAAACAAGTTTTAAAATCAAAAGGCAGAGGGAGATAAAGGGAAAAGCACAACAGGCTCCACAGGGGGCCTCTGTTGCTGTCCCGCATTACTTGTTTTCACCTTTGCCGCTCCCACTAATACCTTCCGACTTACTTCTTTTCCCCTTCCTTTCCTCTTTCGCAGTACTTGGGCTCTCCATATATCTGGGCCCTCCAACTTTCCCTCCACTGTTCTGCAACTGCAGCAGAACACTCATTGTTTACATACACATATATATATCTCTCTACCATGTCCGCCTCGGCTCTTCGCGTGTGCGCACTGCGCCGCTCCCCTATGCTCTTGCAGGGCAAACCGGAGGTCCCCTTTTCAGGGGCCCCTCGAGGCTCGCGCCATGGGGGCTCCCCTGGGGCCCCTACCCCACTCGAGCGTGACGTGAAGTTCAATGAGATAATGCGCCCGCTGTGGGTTTTAGAGCCCCCAAATTATGTGCGGCAGCCACTGTGGAGACAGTTTTGGGAGGCACAGTTCGCGAATCGTAGTTTTCTATTTTTTGGGAACGCATGGACCTCATGTGCTGCCTTTGCGGCGTTTCTGTGGTGGAGCAGGGTGTTCGGTAAGTAAAAGTCTCTCTCTAGTTCTACTTTTGCCATTTCCTCACCCCTGTCACTGGCTTGGTTTGGCCGGTTAGTTTCATCCACCCGCTCCCTGTGCTTCAGTTCGATGTAGTTTATTCTCCCCGTCGAGTATATAGAATGGCGTGTGTGGCTTGTACCCATTTAGCTTGTTCATTAGCCTGCGGGAAGGTTTTATTTGCTGGTATTCAACGGAAATACTAATCACTTGTCTGGTTCATTTGTTCCCACTGCTCAGGTGTGAACTGGCCAATAGACATTTCGGCATATGGAGTTGTATGCTTTCTGCGTGCGCCCTCTTTTCTTCAGATCCTCCCCCGAAAGAGCGTCTTGACAGATACTGGCTAAATTCGCGTGAGCGATCATTGCCGTTTTCTTTTCCCCTTTATCATGTCTTTTTCGCCTGAGCTCCTCACGCTCGCTAGTTTATCACGACTACTGTTGCACTTCAGTGTATAACGGTGTGCACAGAAGTAGCCACTCTCAGCACCGAAGGTGAAAGGTAGTACAGCAGGAAACAAAGATACAGGAAGTCCCTAGAAGACACAAAGGGAGATCCAAATTGGCGACAGGAGCCGCTGCTCAAGCAAGGAGCCTAGCGTGTCCATTGTGTTGACCGCTTGCACCCTTCCATAAGTTTCCTTTCTTCAATTATTTGTGGGTTTACTTGTTTGTTTCGTCGGTTCCGTATGTTTTCAGCAAAATTCCGAATTTTATCAGCGTTCCACAATCCCGGCAAGCGCCCGGGCTTGAAGATCAGCCTGATGACGTATGAGGCTCGTTATTTCTATCGCGGCCTAGACCACCCCTTCTCCTTGAACGAGATAAAGGACTTTCTCTTTAAATTGAGAGAAAACTACCTCATTAATACCTATGAGGGCATCCAGTTCCCCTTCGTATTCAGACAATTTAATAGGGTACAGACACCAGGCACGCTGGAGGTGAGGTGGATCGGTTTACTTTGCCCACCTATTTGTTCAGGTCTCGTTCTGATTCGTGGATTCGTTTCTGCCCGCCAAAGCGTATCTTTTCACTTGTCTGGCATAGTGATAGCAATACAGTAACCCAACTAACTCGATCCAACCAGTTTTTATCTCCCGTGTAGCTTTTTGATTGGATTCAGATCTATTTAAATGATTGAACTTGATCCAATTCATGTTTTGTTCATGCGTGCGCAGGTGCATCTCTCTGATCCTATCCCTGATGATCACCACCACGGTTCCTCTGGGCACTAGCCTGGCGCATTCATTTCTTTCATCGCAAACACATTTAAAACTCAGTACCATGACGCCGTTTACTGCTTTAGTTGAGCCGTCGGCCCGCACAGTCTAGTGTATTTGGCCTAGATTAGCCAGTGTAGCTTGTGAGCACAACTGCTCTCGTCATGCAGAGGTAAGATATCACAGTGTGCCGTTAGTGACCGCAGCTTGACAGCGAAGAGAGGCGGAGCAAATTGCATGTGAGGGGGAGAGTGGGGAAAAGGTGGACTGGCAGAAGTAAATAAGTTGTAAATTTGGTGGAAAGTCAAGGAACAAGCAAGTAAATCAGAAAATGGGCCATTCGGAGGTGTACTGACGCCACAAGGGTGGCAGAGGCAAGCGCCTCAACTAATCAGCGCAGGGTAATTACCGAAGCAAATAGAGAAGATCTAGTGATTCGGCATTTTTTGCTGTGGCGGAGTTACGTTTGCGCTACTGTGGCCTCAAAACGAGAGCGTTAAAAAAGTTGGGCATATGTGCAAATCAGCTCAGTCTCTGGACGTGTCTCTCACGGTATGTTTTAGTCCCATCCACCTCGACTCCACAACTTCAAGTTTTCGTCTCCTTTCTGCTCTGTTCTCCTTTTCCGTACCAACTGCTGTTTCGCCCCCGCTTAGCCTCGACAGCAGCTCGTCACCGCTGACAGATACGGTGCTTCCTGAAAGGAGAGCGCAAACGCGGTAGAAATGCAAAACAGTGAACAAGGGGAAGAGACACACTGGCGAGCCCATCAATGTCCGCAATCTTCGCGTTGCGGCACAGCGGCTTGCGCCAAAAGGAGCTCATAGGAGGCAACAGAGAAGTGAGCAATACAGCGGGTGGACTCACACTGGACTAACTAAAACAAAAATCTGCTGCGTGATGAATCTGTAAAGGTGGCGTGCTCTGTCTCATGTGTATGCCCTGCTCACCAACCACCCAATACTTGATATATGCACTCTTTGCGGCTTTCCACAGTAGCCGGAAGATGGTTAGCAGGGGCAGGAGCAGGTAGAGAACGAGACACAAATGAAACCTGGTGGCGCTTGTGTCTTCAAGCGCACGCATCCTCTCGAACATTGGTTCTTTGCCTCTCAAATTGGTCAATTCGTGCTTAAGGCGAAGCGCCAGCCGCTGCTGCATCGCCAAATCACAGACCACCAAAATGCGCCAAGCCAGCTTGGAACGCAGAGGCGCTGAAAGTGGGGGCTGCGCCAGCTCCAGTTGTTTCGCGCGCATGCGCAGAGCGCATTCGCTCTTGTTCCTCCCAATTAGCCACTTCTTCACAAATGAGCTCTCAGTGAACTCCTGAAGCAACACAAACAATCAAGTTACGAATCGCAAAGCATCTCTTCTCCTTGCTGCTTGCCTTCTATAACTATGTCGAATTGCCTCGTTTTCCTTTTGTGTCAATGTCTTTTCCGTCCCTCTTTGTCTCTGGTTCTTGCTAAATTTCCCCCTCCTTTTTCCTTCCTGCTCTTCTTCCCCTTCTGCCCCATTTCGCTACTCAAAGTGCATCTTCGTGTCCTGTCAGCTATCAGCTAAGGCTTTCAGTGCTTGCAGGAGCAACTCACGCACAGGTTTGATAATGAGCGCGCTAGTATGGACAGTAGGAAGTGCATGTGAGCGCAAAACTGGGGCAAGAGCAGTAATAGCAGCAACAATAATCATACACGCCGGCAATAATACAGAAAACAATTGTGGAAGCAATGACAGACACAGTAATAGGAAGCCTACTTGTGGCTGTGCTTTTTTCTTTTGTGTCGAATGCCACTCATAAAGCAGCTGGTGGACTTTAAGCAACGCGAACTCGGAGCCATCTTCCTCCAGCACTTGTTTAATAGAGGGGGTTAGCTTTTCTTTTTCTTTTTTCCCCGCAATCAGCTTTAAAACCAAACCGTAAAGCTCCCGAGGCCTCCAGAACAGCTGCTGGCCCAGCGCGCCCATTTCCACCAGCCTATCTCTACCTATGAGATAAAACGGAGCATGATGTTGCAGCAGCAAGTGCTGGATCAAAGGAATGAACTGACCATTGTCCCTCTTGACCACATCTCCGGCCTGCTCAGCAACGCCAGACCGCACCAGCTTCTCTCTCGAAAACGTTTCATAGATTTTCTCCAAGTCTAAATGGCCCAAACCCACAAACACCAGATCTGGCCGCAGCGCCGTAAAAGCAGCGACTGCAGACGTGGCTGAACTGTTGCCCGTCAAAGCCCCGTCGGGGTCTAGACCACAAACGTAGAACTCTAAATTGCGGGAGTTCCAGCGCACCGGAACCCGGAAAGCTGAATAGCCATCCCCAAAGACTCGCTCAAGTTCCGACGTGGACGAAAATGAACGGCGCGAAAAAGAAACAGGTGTATGCACACTGAAAATGGGAAACAAAGAAGCCCCAGGAACCTGGGAGTGCCGAAAGGATAAGTCTGGTAGGGGGAGAGCACGAAGAGGCGCAGTTGGGGGTCGGCATGTCGATCCTGTGGTGTACAAGAAACTAGGTAAACGCTTTGGCTTTCCTGCAGCACTATTTTCGACTCTTTGCAGATCTAGTGCGGTTGCAACAAAACAATTGTGGCTCCCAGGGCCATTTAAAATTCTGGTGTAGCTACTGCTGCATCCGTTGTTGCTGGTGCTGTTGCTGCTGCTGTGAATGGCAGCAAGAGAAGGAACAGCGCCATAGCTCCACCCCCCAGAAATTGAATTCAAACTTGCGCGCCTGGACTTGGACAGGTTCCGTGCTCTCGCGAAAGTCGACCGCGGACAAGATAACGCGGTGCCTAACATCGCGGGTACATTCCTAGACGTGAAAAACAGTCAAGTGACCATGAGTATGGAAGAGAGCTCAAAATGCAGTGGAGGAAAGATGCCCAGTACAGAGCCGCAACATTCCACTGCTAGTTCTTGGAAGAAGAACATGCCCATGTGGTGTAAGCAAGGTTTCCCGTTACACAACTTTGGGAAACCGGTACCCATCGGCTAATCCATTATGACAGACTCAATCTTAATTCTGAGAACATATCTTTTTGTGTGCCGAAATTAGTACGGACCGCTGCAGAGGGGTTTTGCCTTGGGGCTTTTTCGGCGGCGCTGTCGCATGCGCGGCTCTATGCATTCATCAGCCTCGCCTGCACTCAAGAGTGCAGTGATGGTGATACTACGTTAATAGATTTATGGCTAAATTATGTTGTTTCTGCTTTTTCTAATCTCAGCGTGAATATCTTCTGGCGATGGCCGGGCACCCTGCCGACGATGTCGCTACGCCATTTGCGGAGAGCTGAATTGGAACAGCAGGAGGGTTTCAGGAAGGAACTAAGAGCAAGTAAATCGCATAATGCTTTGGCACTTCATTCTTCAGAAGAATCTTCTGTTCCAGAGAGAGAAGCAACGACAGCCAGGCGCTCGGTCTTCTTGCAAGCCGTCAGTTCAGATGCCGAGAGTTCACAGGAAGAGGCAGACAGCGCCAATGAAGCGTCTTCTCCGCTTGAAAAGGATAACTCTGCGAAGGATTCGAGCCCATTAAGCTGCAGGGATGACAAAAGTGATGGCAAAAAGAGGGCGAAACCGCGGAACCGACGCAAGCGCAGGGCCCACCCAGCAGTACCTCCACCTCAGGATTCTCAAGAAACCTTTGTAGAAAGCCACGTTGAAGAGTCCTTATGTGACGGCCAGGAGGAAGCTGCAGCATCAAGTTTGCCCCAAATTTCTGGGAACAACTCTGAGACGGCGAGCTGCCTATACATGGAAAGAGGCGCATTTGATCCTGACGCGGAACTGCGAAGAATTTTCGGACGAGAAGTTTTGCAGCGTTCACGGATACGTGCCCGAGGTGCGCTGACGTTGTTTATCAATCGTTTAAAGTCGTTAGCTGTGTCATTGCATCAAGCCCAAATTAGTTTGCGTATATGCCTTCGTTCGTGTGGCTGATGCCTGTCTAAAAAATAACGTGCATTCTGTGCCTCTTCTTTGTGCTCAAGCGTCAACCCGATCGCGACGGCAGTGGTTGATAGCGCCCGTTGAATGCCACCATTGTCGAGCTTTTCGGGTGAACCCTTGGGTTCGGATGGTGGCTTGTGAGGATTCTGCTACGGGGAATTTGGAATTCAGTCTACAGTTTACGGAGGACTACGTACGGGTCCAACCCGCTTACTACGGGGCACTGAACAGTCACGATCTCCACGTGCTGGAGAGCTTTTGTGACTCTCACCCGAAACACCTAGACGGGCGCTTGGCTCTGTCTCAGGCGCTTTCTGTGACAGGAAGCCATGAGGCTGCCTTCCATATGCTCACCATTGCGGTCTGCAGCCTACAGTCTTCCTTTCATTATGCTTTTTCGCCCTTTGCCTTTAATCCGGATGGCACACCTCAGGTGCGCAGAACACAGGCCACTGCAGCAAATGGCCACTGGGCTGATACAGAAGCAGAAACACGGGATTTTCTCAAAGCATATGATGGCAGGGTGACACTGTTTCCGTGTGCTTGTTTCTGATTCACTCAACAGGTGTCGGCGGACTCGCGAAACCCATTAAATCGCCAGTTGTTTACCTGTCTGCTGCTGTACATGATCGGATTGGGAGATCAGGGCTGCCACCGCAGCGCCTTAGAGGTCTGCAAGTTGCTGCTGGCAATGGACTTGCCAAACGACGCGGCCCACGCACTGCTGCACCTGGACTACTACGCCTTGCGCTCCGAAAAATATGATTTTCTGCAATACTTTGCGAAGGTGTTCGTGAAGCAGCACCTCACATACGTTGTCCCCGTTGAAGCAAACGCAGCCTTCGAGACAGCAGCGGCGGCCGCTGCTACTGATGCGGCAGTTGAGACCAAGGAACCCTCTAGAGTCTCAGATCTCCGACTCACAATGCCAAACTTCGCTTTCTCTGCGGCGCTTGCGTACTTCCTGAAGGCGTCCCACCGTGAGCGGAAAAGATTCACCATTGTATTCGATTCACTCCGACTGATTCAAATCGATGAGAAAAGGCATGAACGTAATTCTTCTGATGCCTGAGTTCGTTCTTCATGGAATGTTATGTTGCGCGCAGAAGATATATCAGCTGTCCGACAAATAAAAGCAAAAGACGTATGTGCAGTGTATGGGCGTGGAGGAGAAGTAGAATTTGGGGAGTATCAGGATGACTTAGTTCCGCATTTGCTACTGATGCATGCAATCCTCTTGTTCCCCGCTTTCATTCGGACGCTTCTGAAGAAACTGGATATCAAAGGAGATCAAAAAGTCCTGGGTGAGCAAAAGCGTATGGGCGCCTGAAACCGGCGGGAGGCAGCAGTTAAGGGAAAAGTGACGAGCTGCGTCTAGTCTCATAAGTATTCATTGTTAGTTTTTTGTCTTTTCCTTTTGTCCACTTGCATGTTTTCTATGGTGCAGATTCAGCTTATCCCAGCCTTCCGTGGGATATGCTGCTATTTTCGGCTCCTCTGTGGATCACTGGCGGCCCCATCCACGAGACGTACGCGGAATCAGGATGAGCACAGGCATTTCTTCTTTCTTTAGCTTACTTCTGCTCCAGTCAATTTTGGATAGATGGGGCAGTAATAGCCTAGCGTTTGTGTCTGCAGTCAGTTTTGATTGGTTAAAGACGTTTAAAGTGCCCTAGTATGCATTTCGCGTAGTTAGTTTCAAATTCCCCATTTCCCCCCCTCATATGACTGTATATCATGCTGTCTTGCTGTTTGTGCTTATTTTTCCTTAATCCTCTGTAGTCTAGGCCCTATTCATGACAAGCTGCTGACGTGTTTTGTTGAGAAGAACTCCGAGTTGTGGAAACCAAATATAGTTTTCCGTTGGCTTCACTCTTGTGCTGCTCATTTGTTCTCTCTTTGTCAAGAAGACACAAAAGGTGAACTGATTCGGTATCAGCTGAGAATCCGATTCTTTAAACGAGAAGTAGATAATTCACATTTACTTTTGTAAGCAGATTCATTTGTCTATGTTTTTCCATGTGCGAAATAGCCGAGAGCACGCATATCTGCATGAGCGTCCGCGCCTCCATACACAGAGTTATCCACATAAAATTTTCATGAATTTGGATGTGTGTACAGAGATGTTGAGGTGAAAAACCGGGTAGATACCTCTTCTGTCTCAGCCGCAAACAGATCCAACTCAGAAAAAACGAGGCTTCTCTATGCGCTTCCCAATTGAACCAGACCGACTTACGTTCGTTTCTGTTGCTTTTTTTTTGCAGAACGCAACATGCTGCTCGAGCATCGCCTCTCTTGGCACCAAAGCATCTGTCTTATAGACTTGCACCGTTATTTCAATGTTCGCATTTCAGAATTCATGTCCCCACCAACTCTGCCTGAAACGCTAATGGAGCCTGAGGCGTCCCAGCCAGGCTGGGTTCGCGGGGACCGCCGAGGGGCCCTCGGGGAGGGCCGGGGCGGCTTCGTGAGGCTTTATGTGTCGCTGCGAAGCTCGCCGCTGATTCTGTTCTTTCAGACCCTTTTGCCTTGGAATGAAATCGACCACTCTGGTGAGCTCCGTAGTGTTCGGGTGTTTCGCTGTGCTTGCTCCATGTCATATGTTATGTTTATTTGCTCTTTTGCTGCTTGGTTGGATATCTTTATGTCATCGCATCGTTGTTTTTTGCTTTGTTTATTTAGGTTGGCGGTCTCACGTACATTCACGCATCATACCTGTATATGAGCTAACATCTGCATAATTTACACATCTACAATTACATGTATACCGATACAGAGAGCTGTCTGAGCTGGTGTTCTGCGTGTTTCAGGCCTCCACGCTGAGCCAGTATACGTGAGCAACTTGCTTTCTTCCTTTCGCTCCTTTTGTGTTTCCACGTCTAAATTTATTTTGGAGACTCTGTGGCGCATAGGTGCACAGACAGCGCGTCTGGTTGGCGGACAGAGCCCATTAAGCGCAAGCAACTGAGTTATTGGTTTACTATGGGCACCTATCTAATTGAAGGAATATCCCTTTTTATCCTCACGAGTATCCGGTCCTTATACAGTGCACGTGAAGGCAGATAAATTTGCATCGAGGGGATTTGTGCTGCCGGCATCGCTACTCAGGAGCTGCATTTCCCCTTGAGCTAGTTTTGCTTTTTGAATTGGTTTTATGCGTCGAGTTTTTTTGATTGCTAGTAGTATTTGTGGTGGAAACCAGTTGTGCGTGTACAGGTTCGCCTCTGTGTCTTTGTACATAACGTGCATGTGGAGTTAACTGGGACAGTTAACCATTATTCTTTTTTGTGTTTTCGGAATGTACGTGTTCCTTCTTGTTGTGTTGCGGAAGTTGTCTGTTTGTACCTAGCTCACAGATGCAACCCAGCTCCAGTGTTCCCTCCTGCTGCAGAATCGCACTGTTTAGTGGAGCATACGCCTGTAGGGGAAAATTAAGATGCTAAGCTCTACGTATGTGAAATCTAGGCAGAAGGACGAATCCGTTCCGCTCCCACGGAGAGGTAATCCTACCGAGTTACAGAGGCAGGGATCTAGCTTTTCCTGTCATGCGAATTATGATTTAACTAGAAGTTAATTAGAAGCAGCAAGATATTAGCAGGGAGTCGCAATTTATAAGGTTCTGCGCACAAAATTACACTAAACGCCCCCTGTGCGCTCCTCCTCCGCATTCGACGAGACCGCTCCCGTACCAGCCTGCAGCCTTCAATTTCCACTTTTTGTGGCGAAAAGAATGGATGTTTCACTTTTATACCCGGGACACGTGGGCCCTGCAAGTAGTGTGAGGCGCCGCCGCGTGTGTGACGAGAGGCATTGCATCATCCTGCGTGGGGTACACAGTAGTGTACTTCACGCGAGCGCTGGTTCTTAGAAATTTCTTTACACGGCATATCATTGCAAGCCGTAATATCTGAATGGCAGTCCAAACTAGGTGAGGGGTTGTGAGTGACTGTCTGAATATCTCGACGTCTGAATCCTTCTTGTCCAGAGCTCCAGGATCTACGTGCAAATCAGGAGAAGGGATAGAACTTCGTAGCGACCGTATGTTTGTCTAGACATATCTACGTGTGTGTGGTGCTGGATGTCGTGAGGATTGTGCTCTCTATGTAATTTGACGCAACGTGGCCTTTCTCCAGGGCTCTAGGAAAACTGTGAGCCAGAAAATTACCATTGAAAGCTGTTTAGCCACCCAAATTCGGCTCAAAATATTCGACAAATGAAATTTAAGCCGTCCACACTTATTTTTAGGACGAACAATTTGGAGGCGCCGTTCGGCATGCATGGTGGGGCCATAGGCGACTGACACGCAGTACCCTCTGTTTTACTGTGGAGCTATATAAAGAATAAAATCGACTCATATTGAACTGATGAAGTCGAATTGTTTTTTTCATTTTCTTCGTTGTAGTGCTCTTAAATTTACGTCGGCAGCACGTGCCTTCCCTCCGTGCCGGATACGAGGACCAGCCGAAGCCGACACCGGCGCAGCTTCCTAGCGCCCAAAACCGTGAACAAAACAGAGAAAGGGGGAAGATACCAAAGTATACATAAGATAAGAACTCAATAGAGCACAAAGACAATAGGCGCGGCTAATTCAACGCAAGCAATGCCGGGTGCCCACGGAGAAGGCTGCGGCTGTAAGCCGGAGAGCGAATTCAACTTGGGCGAGTTTCTGTTTGGCTACATAGACGTTGACGGGGTTAGAGGAATAAATGAGCAGGTGGGGAAGGAGGAAGGCCTCTAAAAGCTCTTTCATAACTCACTAATGCAATTACTTGTAGATGGTGTCCTTGTTCAATTGATCAATCTCAAATAGTTTTGTGCAACGAAGAAAGCACTACACGTCCCCTCTGCTCGCCCTTGAGTTGGGGAAACACTGAGATGCATTTACTGAATATCCAATTTCAGTGCGCAAGTGAAACACCCCACGCGATTACCGTCGGGTCGAAGGCACCACAAGGCGATGCTGTGGCACCGCTTCATGCGTGTTTGACAGTCAAGAAGTAGCAGTAATTGATTATGCTTGTTGTTTTGCAAGCAGGAAACGGGCTCCGCGAAGCGAACAATAAGGCCTTATGATGAAAGACTGAATGATTCTGTCTCTTGTAAAAGTGAGGAGGGAGACGCAGAACTAGTGAGCAGGCACTATGATCGCTGTTATAAGTTACTTTTTTGCTTGTTAGATGAATATCTAACAGGCAAAAAAGTCACTTGTAGCAAATATGGATGCACAGCCTCACTTGTCTCAGTAGTTTAATCAAGTTAAACTTAGAATGAGTCAATAGTTTATTTCTCAGCGGTTTGTTCGCCTACTCATGTTGACGGGACGAACTACTTTATTCAAGGCAAAGTTATCGTGCGTTGGTAGATAGCTTTTTTTCAATCTTGCGTATACCCACTTAAGTTGATGGACCAAAGTAATTTACTTTGTGTAGGCATCATCGAGTACATACAGCCAACCACGGCGCCTTCCTTCAATCATGTCCCCCATAAATCCACCGGAACAGTGGATTTTATTACCAAGTACTAATTTTAAGCAATATCAATATAGGAGATAACTACTTATGTTCATATTCGTTAGAAAATGCTGCAACTCTGCTTGTGCTGGCACAGATCATCTACATCCCCTTTATTTCTCCCTGCAAGGCGAGTGTGCAAATACCCCAGAAGAGAGATAAATGCATGCATAAGAATAACGGAACATGATTGTTCCCCAGCGCTGGTGTGGCGCGCAGGTAGTTACCTGTGGCGCTTTTTTTGTCAGTTTTACTCGTTTTTATTTTGTTTTTTGCTCTTTCTCCTCTGCCGTTGTGTATTTGCTTTAGGTAACTAGTTTAGTAGTCATAGGAGGGGATAGAGGGAGGGCTCCTTCGAAAGTGAAGATATTTGCCAACAGAGACGACGTAGACTTTACCAAGTCCGTGGCGTGTATGACCAGCTGAAGCAGTCTGCTTGAATGGGTGATACTCGTGCAGCCTTTCTCAGGAACTTTGGATTTGATGGAGAACTTAAAATGCTTCTTTGACTGCTTATTCCTTCCCTTTCGTCTAAGCGTGCTATGCCTTGTATTTATGATTTTCACGTGCTGCTGCCTGCTTGGCTGTCCTTTTATTAAATAATTCATTTATTTGTCGCCGCTTCGCGCAGTGTGAGGGATGTAGAGTGCATTCAAGAAGTCGAGCTCACTACTGACTTCCACGGCGCTGTGGAGTATCCTTTGAAGGTAAGCATCCATTGCTTTGGATTAATTTTGAGCTAAATCAATCTAGAATCAGTTGAAAGAGCCGTTGATGTGGCATAGTGCTATATGTTTCTATTGCGGCTGCAAAAGCGAGGAGCCAGTTTGTTTTGCAGTTTGCACGTAGACTTGTATTTCTAATCACACCGACTGTTTCCTTCTAAATATGCGTACATCAAACCCCAAAACAGCTTGGTTTTTCTTCCTATTGATTGTCTAGGTCACTAAACTTCAAAATGCATCTTCCATTGTTTTGTACTTTCCGGAGAACTTCGGCGGCGACTGCACGGAAATATTTTACATCGGTGAGTCGCTCATTTGCCACATGCCGTTTTTGTATTCCTTTATTTTCAAGCTCCTTTTCAAAAGTGAGCTTCCTTGTACGTCTGCTTTTGCTGCTATTAGTGCAAGAATTTTACATTTTTCCTTGTCCAAACGCAGGTCTGAGGGGGGTCGGCTCAAATTACCGCCGTGAAGCTGTACAGACTGTCAGTCCAGTTTTCACTATTTTTCCTTCCTTCCCTCTTCTGCCGCTTCATACAGCTTCTGCTCGCTGCTGCTGCACGCTGTAGAGTGTCACTATAGCCCTTTCGGCTGTGTTTTCGTGTAGTCCAAAGCTTTTCGTTTGTTTTGGTTTTGTCTATCAGGTGTATGAGGCTCGGGCCAACATGAAAGATCACAAACAGCCGGAAGGCGAATTCCAAGCGCAAATAGGACTCTAGTATCTTCCGTGCTCCTTTCAACTTTATTTGTCGATTTAAATGCTAAAGTAAAGTAAATCGGCACTGATTAAGGACAACAGCATCGCCACAAAAGGCGGTCTGATGACTTTAACGTTCACTCTGAACCAGAGTTCCGGGTTAAAAGTGTTGAAAGGTGCTTCGTTTTTTACTTTTTCCAGCTAGGAGGCGACTGCTTTTTGCATCTGTCCCTTCTCAACGGCTTTAAATTTCTCAAGTTCAAGCGAAATCCACGTATTTGAAAGTGGTGAGTTAGGATGAACAGGAAAGGCGGCAGTTATCTGAATCAATTAGCCTGTATCAACTTCTTGAGGCACTCGGATACTGTGTTCACGTTAGCGCCCGCCAAGTTTTGAATACATTTTCCATTTTTGTAAATTTTCAAAGTCGGCATGGAGCTGACGTCTTCTCTCTCTGTTAACTCGGGGCACTCGTCCGCGTCCACCTGCGAGACCAACAGAGCACAAAAAGAAGGGAAAGGGGTGGTAATTTCTGCAATTCAAGCAGCAGATGAAAGTGAAAATGAACAAAAAGGTCAAATGTACATGCATCTTATGAACGTTCAGGCGAAGTGAAAGTAAACAGAGGTCAAATGTGCATGCATCTTATAGGTTCGGGTCTGAATAGGCGTCGACAAACTCTTGAGTCCACTCGTTGTTGTTAGTAGCAGATAACACAGAATAAGGTGAGGCACTCATACCTGCACGAACTTGAAATTCGCGTATTCTTTTTTGTTGCTTTGCTCCTCTACGAAGGGCTTAATTTGCCGGCTTGGCCCTGTACAGCCAGTCACGAATAAGCTGTGTCGACGAATTTAGCTGCGTACGCCACTATTACGAAATAAAAAGTGACTGGGTATGCTAGCTAGATTGGCTTGAGTCTACTACGACTGGAACGAAGCAGCCAAATTTTGTCTTACCGTTCCATGTTGCAAAAAATGTCACCACCACGGTGCCCTCTTGGGTCGCGGCGTCGTATTCTGCGCCAAGTTTAGAAGCAGCAAAAGAAAGCACGTAGATCTGGCTAACATTTAAATTTAGTTGTCTAGTTGGGGAGGCTGCATGGGGTGCGGAATTTTAGCTATTAGCTTCAAACGCCTTTAAGAAGGCCATTTCGATGAGAGCTATTTATCTCCTACATGCTATTTTCTATTTCAGCTTCTGTTGAGTCCGTGATACGACTGGAGAGTCCTAAAGAGTCCTAAGGAGCGCCTAATGCACTCTACAAACCAGGACAAACTGCGAAGAAATCCACTGCATGTGAGACGGGCTTGCGAGGCTTTGAACGAAAGCAAGAGTTTGCATCAAAGCTTATATGAAATGTGCGTTGGCGGCCAATTTTTTTAGTGGAAAATGAAGCAAATAGTTTATCTGAAATACTATTTTGATAACGCAACGGGAGCCGTGAAGTCTGTAGAAATGGTTAGCGAAAGGGTTAGCTATGATCTGATTTCTCCAGGTCCCGGTAAAAGCCATCTCTAAACTGACTAAAACCACTTGTCTTGTGCGGCTGAGGCGTGGCTGAAAGGCACGGGTACCAGTTACCTACCCTGTGCCGACTTAACGAGTTGTGAGGGCATTTTGCCAAAAGCTTTCTTGGATCTCGAACCTAATTTTTGGTTTTTTTGTATTTGAGATTTTCTTAATGCTGGAAGTATTCCATTTGGAATCGGCTTTTGCAGAATAAATCAAATGTGGCTGCAGCACCCTGTCGTCGGCGAATGGCTTTGCACCGTGCACGGCTTCCCAAGTTCCCACAGTGCACTGCTTACAAGTAAACTACTTATATTTATTATCGAAATGAAGATCCAAGCGGCTATAAAAGAAATATGTTGATACTTGCTTTGACAGTTAGCGCGCCACTAGGTGTAGGTACGCGTCGCGCAATCCAGAGGAGCCCCGCAGCCGAGTAGTTGGCGATTTTGCATTTAGACATTTACCCGTTTATATCCGAAAAATGAAATTTAGCGTTTAAGCTATTACATGTGAATTTTCATTTCATCAACTCGAGAGCTTATTACCCCTGGTGTTTGCACAATCATTGTGTATGGAAACCGAAGCAAAGGCGGCCCCAATGGACAGACCCAATCTTCTGAGAGGAAACAGCACTCTTGTTTTTCCATTATTCTTGCGATGTTCATGTAGTATATTAAAACATATTGCTATTAATGGCTAAGCGGGCAAAGTGGAACACAAATTAATCCCGTTTTCGCCCGTGGCTTCTGCCCCATTTCGATGCAAGGCGCAGACTAGCACGTTCCCACGAGGTGTGTGCATAAACCGCAGCGTACTGCGTGTTTTCCCATATGTCCTGTGTATGTTCACTCTTGTTTGCGCCATTACTTATTTTTCGGAGCAGTTGAAGTCATTGCTGCCTCGTGCTGCTGCCGACCACGCGCAGTGCTCCCTCGCGGCAAAATTGTTGCAAAAGGAGGTACAAATCCGTGTTGATTCCGTTCCTGCTTCCTCTCTTTTTTGCTGTTTCCGCATGCAGACAAAGCCAACACTCGTCACAATGGCCAACGAAGACACTCAAGCCACTGCGGCAGAAGAAGCCACTGGCTCTGAAATAGAGCGCAAGGAGAGCGCCCTGAGATCGTCGATTGCGAAATACGGTTCAAACAGTGTACGTACACCTCAGGACTTCGGTTGCTTTCCTGTTTTTCCTGTTTGTCCGGCTTGAAGATTCAGCTGAGTCCTCAAAATTTGTTATATTGAGCTCCATTAACTCATTTTGCGCTGAGTTTTGTGGTGCAGTACTACTACGCCCATGCGCCCTTGCCAGCGGCAGGAGAGGATGCAAAGGTGAGAAGTGCCATTTGCCCGCGCAGCAGAGACAGAGACAAGGGGCTCAGCACTTTGCGTCTTATTTGAATTTACTGAGTTGTGGCTTGACCTATGCCTGTGGATGGGCCCATAAACAATCTGAAACAAGCTTAAAAGACATATTTGTCAACATTGATGTGCATGCGGCATACTTGAATGCATATATGTTTGCATATGCGCTAAAAAGAATATTTGAATGCATTTGTGTGGGCATTTGCGCTTAATGACGCAACTTGTGTGCAAATAGCCGCTACCTGCCACAGCTTCTCCAGATCTTTTCAAGTCCTTTTCTCCTTTTTGCCTCCGCAGAAAATTGAGGGCCCCGGAATAGTCACAGGGGGCTCCCCTACGCTGTTGGCTTCGGGGCGGGCAGAGCCGCAGCCGCTGCCAAATGCAGCAGAAGCTGCTGCTGCTGCTGTTGCAGGCAGGAGGCTGGGGGGTGCCCTATCGCTCACTAGGTACACCTGGGGAGACAGCACAAAGACTGTCAAGTGAGTGGTGAATACGCTCGTTATTTTTGCTTTTGTTTGTTTTGTTTTATTCCGAATTCATGAGCGGGATAGGGCTGAGGGCATTGTCCTCGGTGTGCATGTTGAAGTATATTTAAGCCCTTGACTAGTTTCAGGTCATCTTGACAGAAGCTGTCCAGATCATTTCAATTCATATTAACGCAAAAGTACATCTTTCGCAACTTTGCACGAATTTATGCCGCTGCTTCATGCAGGGTGTACATACACCTGGACGCAATACGCCCAGGGGAAGAAGCTGATGGCCCTTTTAGTCCAGACAAGGTGGCGGCAGAATTCGACAAAAACAAGTTTGCTGTAGCCTTAGAACGTACGTTTTATCAAATTAAGCAAAGCTACTAGACTAACTTGCTTGAAGTTAAACAGTGCCACTACTTTTTGTCAATGCGATGACCAACTCGTAAGTTTTCTTTTTACGATTGGTGTTCCTTCGTTCGAACTTTGCCCATTTGTTTTAACTGTGTATTATTTGTCTTCGTCAAGCACTTTTGCTGGTTCGTGTGCACAGGCCCATCTGGTTTGTACATTTTGGCAATAATGAAGACATACGGGTCACTCGTGCCGAGCGAGTCGTCCATAACTGTAAATGAAAACAGAATATGTATTTCTCTCAAGAAGGAGGTGAGGAAATGAGGCGGGTTTCCTTTTGTTTTCACTGTGCACTTCAGTATGCTGAGATGCGTGTACATTACAGAAGAGCCGAAAATATTGAAAGGCCGACCAAATTTTCGTTTAGAAATCTAAAGTTTATCATTCAAATGCTACTGTGCATCCTCTCCTTCAATGCAGTAGACTACTCCCGCTGAATGCTAGCGCTACGATTTGTCATTGCCGCCTTATGTGTTGTATTCCTCTGCTCGGTACTTCGTAGTATTCTTTTTTGTTCCCACTCGTGTTATATTTTTGCTTGCAGGAGGAGGGGCTTACGTGGTTTAACCTTAGCACGGACTGAGGGGGAAGGGAAAGAGCAGTTGAAATCCACGAAAATGCGTTTTCAATCCAGCATCAACTTTAGCTTTGTCTTAAAGCTACTTTTATGAACTGGTGCAAAACCAAATGCTTTATTTTCTTTTGTGTTTATTTGGCTTTAGGAAAATGATCATCCCAGTGTACCAGTGTGTATGTGCACTCGAAACAATTCGTGTCTGAACTCAGATACTGCATAGCACATACAACAATGCAAATGCGTATATATGTATATTTTGTACTTTATGCGTATAGACTCTGGTGACCAAATATATAGACCTCACATACTTCACGCTAAAGTGCTACGATACTTATTTATTTACCACTTGCTTAACTGTTTATGCATGATTTGCTCTCCCAAAGTTCTGTAGGTCCTGTAGGTTCTGCAGTGACGACTTCCCTGTAGGTCCTTTAGATACTACGGAGACGAAACGGAACATCCTGCTAGTTAGGGGGAGTGTCGGCAATAAAATATTTAGGGCTGCTAGCCAGCGCAAACCAACATGGAGTAAACACCGGGCTTCGTTTCCCCCTTTACGTGCTACTACTCCGTTTTCCGTTTCCTCCTATTACTTAAAGGCTTGGAAACGTTCTGCACAGGCAGCTTAGAGAAGGTAGGACTTAAGAACGCATTTCCTTGCGAAACTGATAGCTAATTCGAAAGTTCTCGGATCTTCAGTCTCTACCGTATTAGTTCGGCCTTCACATTGGGCTCTTCCTGACAGTCAAGTTGAACTTCCGGCACTTCCCTAGGACTCACTCTTCTCAGTTCTGTGGCAACAGGCCGCAACTACAAGCGCCTATATGGATTGAAAGAGAAGAACCGTGTGAGAAACTGAAGATGCCCCAATCTGCGTGAGCATGCACTTCGAGCGTTGCATACCTGGTGGAACAGAATGTTGACGAAACCAACTATGTAGTAATAAAGGGACCTGGTGTGACGATAGCAATGGAGCAAACGCCTATTAATCGAAAGACAAAACGAAAGGTGAAGACACTATTTTCAACATTGACCCCAATGACGGCCTGTTTCGTCTCTACTGTCTGATTACTATCTGCTTTTAACTTTGGTTCAAGTCGATTTCGCTGTCTCGCGACAGCTTGAGTAACCCGAAAACTCTGCAGAGCCGCCTACAGAGCAACGAAACGTGTCCGCCTTTTTGCTGTAATGTGTCAATTTCATGTATTTCCTTCTCCCCGGTGTCACAGTGCCGGCATTCTGCATCGTGACAGGCGAGGTGCTTCACATATATTCAGCAATGCGCTTTATGCCCCGCCAGTACAAGTGTTGGTGTCCCCAGAGGGCAAATAGACAATACACACAGCACAACGATTGAGCAACGCGAGCCATGTACGTAGCTTCAACTGTATGTTTATGTCTGCTTTCGTGTGTCTCTGCGGTGCTAAGGCAATTAAGCTCCCTCCTTCTCTTCAGCTTCCTCTCCGCTTTTCAGGGCGGCAACTGAGGACCGCTTCTTATTAGACATGTAGCAGCTGCCATACTCGCCCTAAACGAACACACATTGAAGACATAAACGCCACCAGGAAATACGACCCACTGAACCACATTACAGTGAATACACGCAAGTGCGCTGCGCTCAATAAGCAGCATACTTACATTTTCAAGCTTTATCTTTATAATCGAGTGGCGGTTGTGAATGCGAAAGCCGAAAAGGCGCGGCTGGTAAGGAATGGGCGCGACTGACGGCACCTGAATGAGAGAACACGAACAACCCAGCCACTGCACCATAAGCAGCTACCAATAAATGGTTGCGTTCCTACTTTTTAAACTGTTCATTATTCAGTGGATTCTCACCCAACTCGAGTAAGTCTGCAGGAATATGTGCGGGAACGAAGGTCCGAAATACGCGCCGTCAATATCTTTAGTCCGTTCGTGCGCGTTCACCATGTCATACACCTCTTGACAAAGAGGACAGAAGAGCTGAAACGTATATAGAAGAAGAGACAGTAATGACCAGACTAAGCCCTGAACCCCCATCGCAGCGTGCCACAAAAGAGCAAGCCACACTGACCTCCAACTAACATGCAAACGCCTACGGCATGAAAAAACGAATGCGGAGGCACAGAACTGCAGTAGCTGTAGCACCTGCAATTTGTGCAGGCGAAGGTCTGGTGATATGCCAACGGGCAGGAGGACCTGACGGTCACAAAGAACGCGAGGGCAGTGCCCAAAGATCTCGTCGATGCATCTATCGCGCTGAAGCAAAACAGAAGAAGGCAAACAAGAAGGTACTCAAATGACTATCTGCACAACTCAGCCGTTTGTGTCTCTTTGAACAAAGGATAAAGGAAGCTGGCAAAACAGACGAATAATATGAACAACGACTTCATGCACGAGTAAGCAGGAGAAGACGCTGAGCATGAAAATTTACCAAATATCGCCACCTGGAGACCTGCCAGCATGAACTAAACACAAATTGGATTACGCGAACAAAGATACAGCCAGTCTGCCAATGCATCTTACATCACAAAACCACCCCTCAAGCGAGGCGTGTGATGAAATATGTGCCTTCATGAGCATACACGAAGAAATGAACAGCACATATGCCCTCTTATATATCTGTGTACATACTCTTGTGTCAACTCTCTACTAATAACAACATTCGTGTTGCAATGCGCGGATAAGAGAGCAAGGATGCGGACGCAGATGGCGAAGCAGCCTTCAAGGCAAAAGCTGACACAGATATACGTCACTAAACCTTATGCATAGTGAGTTGCGGACCATCTGTGGCAAGCCTCTTGGCGAGATGATGTAACGCGCATGAATCAGACCGTAAAGATCAACAGCGTCTCGGTATATGTCCATGAAGCTCTGGTCTGCTACTTCCTCTTCGTCTGGCGCATCCCCCAGTATCATATCCATAGCGCCCTCAAAATTATTGACTGCCGACTTAAGCCCGAAAAGATTGAATGTGTCTCTTATGTACTCCTCATCAACCTCAGCGAAGCAGTCGTGGCCTTCAAGGGAGCAAAACCAGGATATCCACCCTTCCTCTTCTTCTTCTTCTTCCTCCTCCTCCTCCTCCTCTTCCTCCTCTTCTTCCTCGCTGCCCTTCAGAAACATTGATGCAACTGTTGAGAACAAATAACCAGGGGGCCCCCCATGCGATTCCCCTCGCCCGTCACCCCCAGGACCGCCTAGATCGCTGCTTCCAGGCGCTCGGTCGCCCGTTGAAGCAATTTTCGAGTCTGCGGAACTCATGAGAAGCCAAGAGGCCCGAGGAGCACCACAGTAGCGGGAACGCCCTGAGAGGAAACGAAATATGGGAACAGTATGTTCTGGGTTGCTGCCGTTCACGTTCGTGCAGTCCAATACAGCCACTGCAGAGCAACACCGAGCCGCCTAGCGGAGCTGGCGACCCATTTGAGCTCAGCTAGTCAATGTATTAAGACCAGCTCCATCAGAAAACAGACATATCTGTCACTAGGCATACAGTGGGAACGACGCAAGCGGCGCTTCACGGTAGGCTAAGGCGAACAGCAAGAAAACATGAGCCCCATAACTCGATTAAGTTCCGCTTTGCAGCGAAGAGTAGAGACCAGCTTAGCACATGCTACAGCATGAGAATTTTGGTCCTTCCCACGCTTCAGTAACGAAGATACATGCGCTCAAAAGCCCCGCTGCGGCATTCAGAAACCCCCGCAGCCTAAATGAACCAAGCTACCGTGTCAGAGATAAATTTTATTATAATATTTTAGAGTGTGCCTTTTTTAAGCGTTATACGGGTCAAGATTGCCCTTAAGTATCCCCGAAGAGAGCGGTTGCTCCACACGCATGCCTCTTCCTGCTGCCTCCCGCGAGGCGCAGCAATTTAGGCGTCTGAGATCTGAGTCTTAAGGCACCATCACATTTATTTTTCCCTGTACACTATAAATTTTTGTGTCGTTACTCAAAAAGTCCACAACAAAATCGACTCCAAACAGCATTTGCGGTGCCGACCGATCTCGCAGTCCAACCCGTGGTAGGGCATCCATTGCAACTGGAGCGCCTTGCTTTTGTCTCCTTTGGCTTTGGCGTTTCTCAATATAGACACGACTGCCACAATCCGCGTAGCTGCAAGCGTACACGTTCTGAAAATGTCGTCATCAACCGCTGAGCTCACCGGTGCGACTACAGGGAGCGACGAAACAACGAAAACAGGTGTACAGGACCAAAATTTGACTGAGGAGTCAGCGGCAACAGCTTCACCAGCCATTCCAGAGAGCTCGTCTGTGCAATCACAGGAGTCCAAAGAGTTGGACAAGACACAGGGGGAAGGCAATTCAGGAAGTACTGAACCTACCAGCACCGCGGCTGCTGCATCTACAGACAAAGGCACTGCGAGCACTGCCGCGCCTACTAACACCGACGCTGCCGCACCTGCTAACACCGCCCCTGCTGCTTCAGAAGGAGAACCGTCAAGCTCAGCCGCAGCTTCGGCTGTAGAGGCAGCCGGTGAGGAAGTTAAGCCTGCAAAGAAGCAGGAGCTCTTGGCGAATGGGCTGCCCAAAATTGTGTATGATTTGCCGTCTGGAGCACCGCCGTCTCGCGCATGTGACGGTGGAGTCTACCTCGACGCTGCAGACTCCCATTTGGACCTGCAAATCAACAAGGATAATCCGTTGAAGGCCAGCTGCATGCACACAGGGGGATTCCAGTATATGTGGAAGGGGGTGCGCTCGACATTCGGAGTAAAGGGAAATGGCAAATTCTACTTCGAAGTCAAAGTTGGCCCCAAACCCGCGCCTGTTGTAATGCCGGACACCCCATTGAGCACTCAACACGTCTGCCGCGTCGGCGTTAGTCAGCCCCTCACAAGTCTACATTTGGGTGGGTGATTTGCACTTAGGCCCAAGGGGGACTATACACGGGAGGCGGATCAAATGGTGGAGATGAAGGGGGTGCTACATGAACTGGAGTGTGTTGCATTTTTATCTCCTTTCTCCGTGGTTCTGGCTTCTTTCCCCGGGCACTGCAAAATATTAGAATCATGGATTAGTTTCGGGTTAAGGTCCTAGTTCAGGGTCTAATTTAGGTCTTTATGTGTATGCGTACATGCACCACATTGCTGTTAATTTGTGTGTTTCTAATGGCCAGTGTTCATCTTTCTTGCTTTTCGCGTATTCATCCTCCTTGTCTTGCTTCTGTGTACCGTTTTCATCTTCACCTGCACTGTGTTACCATCAGATGCGCTTTTTTGGCTCAGGAGATTCTGCTGAGTCATGGGGTTTTGGCGGGACAGGTAAGAAGTCGACGGCGCGCAAGTATCTGGACTATGGCACATCATTCGGCGAAGGCGATGTCATAGGGGTGGGAATAGATTTAGACAACTTATCGCTATCTTTTAAAAAGAATAATGAATACCTGGGGGCCGCCTTCCAGCTTCCTGCGATCGTGAGGGAAACAGGACTCTTCCCACATATCTACGTCAAGAATTTTGACTTTGAAGTTAACTTCAAGCAAAGCACAAAATGGTTTGAGCCGCCGGGGAGTGAATTTAGATTCGTTGGAGATCTCAAACAAGAGGTAGGCTGCGTATGTTTGCACTACTACCTGTTTTCTACTATGTTTCTCCCTATGTAAGCTTGCTGTCAGACATCTCAAGGAGCACAGAAAGAGTAGTCCAACAGAGGTTGGCAGGGCAGCGTCCAGTAGAAGGCGTCTTAGGATAGTGATAGAATTGAGGCGTAGAATACGCAGTTATTATGTTAGACTGCGGCGAAGTGAGATGGACGCAGAATTAGCCAAGGATATAAATACGAAAACAGACACAGAATCAGATAAACAGAAAAGACGCGGACTTGCAAAATCGAGCAAATACATCAACAGAACACAGAAAAGCAAGAACTCCACTTTTCAGACCAGCGCACACAACCATGCAAGGAAGCAGCTGGAAACCCATGCGCAGAAATAGCCAAGATGCAGGGAATCTCGCGAGCTGTGTTATCGTGAAATGAATGATGGCCGTCAAAAGGTTATCATTCTAGTGGACATTTTGTTTTAGCCCCGATCCATCTGCCATTGCACTTTGGACTTCAGAATTTGCGAATGGTGTGGATGACGGGCTTGTCTTTGTGTCGTGCCCACAGGAATTGATGCCGAACCCAGTAGAACACCCTCGCAGTGTATCAGAGTGCGAGTTTATAATGATGTGCGGCCTGCCTGCTTGCGGGAAGACTTACTGGATAGAGCGTCATATCGAGAAGTACCCGAAGAAGTCTTATGTGCTGCTGGGGACAAACGCAGTCATAGACCAAATGAAAGTCATGGGACTTAAAAGGCAGGCAAATTACGCTAACAGGTGGGAGGAGCTCATGTCCACAGCCACTGAGGTTTTCAACAGTCTCGTGGCTTATGCAGGGTCTGGAGTGGTGCCAAGGAATGTCGTTATCGATCAAACAAATGTATTCAAAAGAGCCAGAGCGCGTAAAGTGCAACCTTTTCTAGGTCAGCCGCAGCTGCATAGGCAATGCAGACCCTACGAGCCACGAGGTCACGAGTTCTACATACATCTGTTGGCTAATCGACCTGTAAACGCAATTTCCTGTTTTCGTTTTCTGCCTACTGACGAAGAAGTAGATAGGGATGCAGATGCACAGACAGAAGAACAATCGTTGCTACTGTTGTATCTGCTTGCATGTGGTCCGTGCTTTGTGTCCTGTGTTTTATTATTTTCTTTCCTCGGTCTTTTATTGCATGGGCGAGTTTTCTGGGCTGACTGTGCAGGTTGGGGCACTCGACGCTGCGTCGTGATGGTTACGGATGAGCCGACGTTGCAGCAACGAACGCAAAAGAGAGAGAGAGAGGAGGGGAAGATGGTACCTGTGGCGGCAGTCATGGATATGAAAGTAAGGCGAAAAGTAGACCCTGGGTGTTTGTGCGTAAACAACTGGTTCGCGCATATACGTGCGCAGCACAGTGTCAGTGGGGGCAAATAAACGTTGAAACCTAACGATTCAAATGTTAATACAGTGGGGCAGGAAATGGAGACTAGACGGATGCATGTATGAGCTTGCTGTGTATGGGCTTGCTGTGTTCCCCGGTCATCCGAAACTGTCCAAATAGTCGAAACGAGCGCCGTAACGAGCTTTTGTATATCTGTTACCGTCAGTTTATGCTGGCTCTGGTGCACTGCCTGTGGTTTTGCAGGCGGCTTTTGCATTGCCGTCCACTGATGACGGCTTTACGGTGATTGATTATGTGGAGATGCCGGAGAGTGAAAGCAGAAGAGAAATAAGAAGAATAAATGAAGAGGGAAGAGCCTTCAAGGCGAACAATCCGGGCCTGGTGAGGATCAGAAATATGCAACGCGCGTGCTGCTGTTTAAACATATGGGTTGGGCTGTTGGCACTTTGGGAGCGCACAAACGGAGCGCTGGATGCGCGTCAAAACTTGTGCCTTTCTCTTTGACTGACTCAGAACAATAGACAACCGAAGCCCCACATAGAAGCCAGAGGGGCTTTCAATGAAGCCGACATGAGCTCAGCAAAACGGCACAAAGGCGACCAGTGGCAGGGGGGCAACTATCAGTCTTGGTCTCATCAGGGCGGCGGCCCTGGGGCCCCTTATGGTTCCCCTCACGGTGGTCGAAATGACTGGGGTCAAGGACAGCAACAAAGCTGGGGCGGTAGGGGTCCCCAAGGCGGGTGGCATGAACAGCACCAAGGTAGTTGGCAAGGCAACAGTGACGGTGGAGGAATGAGGTACTCGTCGCGGGGGAATGGAGGCTACGGCTATGGGCCTCAGTGGTCGGAGTCTGAAGGGTACAGGTCTCACTATCAGTCACACCAGCAGTATGGGCAGAAACAGGGCTACGGAGATGGATACTATGGGCAGCAGCAGCAGCAGCAACAGTACGGTTCGTATGATTCACGGTATCGGCAGGGGGGCGGGGATCAGCAGCAGCAGTGGCAGCAGTCTTACGGAAACCGGCAGGGGCAGTACGGAGGCGGAGGCAACAGAGACTGGCAGGGTTATCCCCCACAAGGGGGGAGCAGAGGCGGCGGGGGTTATTCAGGGGGTGGCTATTACCAGCAGCATAGTCGTTACTGATGCGTATTCTCGACAGGAGCGTCTTCAGCATTGCAAGAGGAATGTATAAAATAATTAGGCGTGGATTTAACTTAAGTATTGTAAGAAGTGCAGAATACTTTTTTGAGATGCCAGAATGCGTGAAAGCGTGTGTTTTGTTGGGAGCGCTTTCAAAGGGGAGGTGAGTGCCGGTGTAGATCGCGTTCACGATACAGTAGTGATGATGTGGACTTCTCCGTGGAGTATTTTAATATGCCTGTTCGCTTTAGTCGTTTGGACTGGCCCGAAGCTGTGTTAAAGAAGGGAGTGATTCTTTTACCTGTCGAGGAAACCACAGAGAATCCGATTGGAGCGCACACCGAACTTGAAAGAAGATGTTTAAGGAGCGGGTGATGGGAGTTTCGGGTCTCGCTTTCTTCGAATTGAGCATGCTTTGTGTAGTGGTTTGTTTTTTGCATGATTTTTGCCTTTCTCCACATCTGCCTAGGAAGTCGTCTTCGCTTTGTGGTGATGCATAATTGTATCTAGGGAAACGTAACCAAGTGGAGAATGCTGAGGTGCTTCCATAATGGAAATATATTTTTAAGAAATAATAAGTGGAAGATATGTTTCAAGATATTTTTTGGAGTAGTGAAAAGCGTCTGGGAGGGGCTGAGATTTATATAGGTAGCAAGCCCGAGAAGCAGTTCTTTACCCAAGAAGTGCTTCTTTGTTCACCGACGGCAATCGCTGTTGGTCATAGTCGCCACGCTGAAAAGAGCAGCAGTCACACCTTCAGATGACGTTGAGGCGTTTTACAGGCAGCGTGCAACAGTGTAAATCGAAATGACGTGAAACGTTGCCGTGTCTGTTAATCTTCCGATAAATAGCAACGGAATTGCAGCGTCTAGCAACCATCGGGCATGACTTACTGCAAGCTTCGAAGTTCTGGAGTCTACGTGAAGTCCAGTTGAAAAGCTTCTCAACAAATGCGAGCTAAATTTGGCGGATAAAACAAAGGTAGCGGGCCTGCGCCTTTTTCTGCAGGTGGGACTTGGTCCTTTGAGGGCAACATATCAGGTCGGATTCATTGTCGGTCAAAGGTCATTCCTGTCGACTTGCCTGTTGAGTACTGGATGTTGTTTGCTTGATACCGATTGTCCATATATATATCTTTCTTGTGGAACTACTAGCGGTCGTATCTTTTTGCGCTGTTTCTCAAGGGCGAAGGGAGGTTATGAACTTCGCTTCTTGGGAGGTATACCCGTTCCGGACTTAAATTTGGAGATAAGGCAACAATTAGTGTTTAAAGAGTCACTGAAAATTGGAGGAGGTTGGTGCTTGGCGGTAAACTGCTGCCGCGCTTAGTGGTTTAAATTTTAGGAGGAACGGACGTACGGGCAGTGTCTACACATGGCGAGATGTAGTAACAGGATTTTCTGTTGTGTCACACCTCGCCAAAATTAGAAATTAGCGTTGATTAAAGGCTTTAATGCTAGGGGATTTCCCCGCATACATCCCCATGTGGACCGGGGTTCAAATTGTCCCTGTGCCGAGTCACCGAGTCTGCAGGTAGTTCTTCCGGGGCTATTGAAACAACAAGCGAGCAAAGAGAAAATGGGCACTCCTGTTCCATTCTCTTATATTTATAAATATTAAATACTATGGAAGAAAAACAACAGAAGGATCGTACAGCATTTGGGTATGCTATAGGGGGGACTCCGTCTGTACTCTGGGGCCCCTCCGGTGAGCAGCTGCAAGTCCTCACTGCTTTCAGTATTAAATGCTCTCTTGGACTATTCTTTTAACAGTTTCTGAGGTTTAACTCATTTTAGAGGTCACGAAGGCGTCTTATTCTGTACTTTTGCTCCTGTGTTCTTCCTCCGCTTGGCGGGCTGTCTTGACGCCCCGAAGACGCATCTTTGTTTTGCAGAAGTGAAATGGACTGACTTGAATGGTGCCCTGCTTGACAGAAGGCTTACTTTGTGGTTGGAAGCCTCTAAAATCTCCCGTGTCACCTACACATGCTTCCTAGGCTCCACAAGTTACGCAGCGTGAAGAGCTGCCGCTGCTCAACTCGTTACCTGCAGGCATGTCTCCCGCAGCAGCTCAATCCAGTTTCAGCACATCGCGTGGGGAAATGAGCGACAAAGATGTTCAGAATGACAGAAAACGATTGCCTGCCGCGGGTTCAAATTCAACTTCGAAGGACGACACACAGCCGGAGACACCCCAAGGCCGCCTTCTGTTCTGCGGCTTATTTGTTGCAGCATTAGTTGTCTTTCTAGCTGCGCTATCCGCTGCTGCGAATCATTTCTATTTGCCTCAAGCCCTTCCTGTTGATGCGCCGGCCGATGAATTCAGTGAAGGCAGGGCGAAGCTGCTGCTGCAGCAGGCAACGCACAGTGTACGTACACTCGGTAGCTGTGACAACGAAGTCGCAGCGCCGCAGATGCTGCACTCTTCTGTACTGAAGCAGCTGCTCAAGCTTTCTTACGCTCCTGCAGCTCCAGCTGCTCTTCCGAAGGGTACAGCAGCATCTACAGGCACTAAGACCTCTACAGACACCGCAGATGCTCAAGCAGCAACTGCAGCTGCTGGCGCTGCTGCTGAGCTGCAAGGCGCAGCAGCAGGAGCTGAGATGCAGGCAGTTGTCGGGCGTGTGAGCTTTGTGCTGCTTGTGACTCACGAGCTGCGGAGTGCCACTGCAGCAGCAAAGAGGAAAGCAGAGGCAGCAGCAGCAGCAGCAACGCCGCTGCGCCGCATACAGCCGCCCGGCCAGGTGACAGACATTGAGACATGCTTGTGCGGGGTGATACAACAACATCATATTTTACTGCAGCAGCAGCAGCAACATGCAGCAGCGGCAGCAGCAGCAGCAGCCACGGGACTGCATGAAGAGCTGCTGCAGTCTACGGAACAGGAGCTTCCGCCGACATGCAAGGACCAAAAGCAACTTGAAAAGTGTGCAGCAGTGCTTAAATTGACGGAAAAGCAAGACCCCTTTTCTCCCTCAGCAGCAGATGCTGCTGCTGCTTCCTTTGAGCGAAAGATAACAGCAGCAGCAGCAGGAGAGTCCGAAAAATGGGAAGAACTGGACTGTATGTACAGCCCAAGTGTGCTGGATCCCGACTCGCCAGATTTCGTTTCCGGCACTTTAACTCCTAAGGTGCAATGCTTTAAGGTAACAAGGCACTTTCTTGCTCCCCCCTCCACTGTCTCTGCGCTGATTGGTCTTGCTGTCAACACCCACGGAGAGCAGCAGCAGCAGCAGCAGCAGCAGCAGCAGCAGCAGGGATCAGCAGTTGCAGCAGCAGCCAAGCCTCAGACTCAAGACAAAGAAAAGGCCCCATTAAGTAGCACAGAGGACCTCAAGAGTTCGGGCTTGCGTCACCTTCTGCATGCGTTCCCTCACCTCTCCAAAGATGAGAAAGATAGAAGCCTCACTGCTGCTGCTGCTGCTTCGGCTGCAGCAGCAGCGGCGAAGACCTCAGTGCTGCGCCACCTGATGAGACATGTGTTATCTGTAGACGTTACCTTCTCCGGCGGAGCTGCTGGGGGATTCGGGCAAAACTATACAGGATTTCGCACGTCACTTTACTCGGGGCCCCGCAACTTCAGTGTGGAGATTAAGCCACTTTTTCCCATGTTCTCCGGCTGCTCCACATCAGAGGCTTTCGAAGATAAAGGGGCTATGCATAAGAACCCGTTGGAAAGCTCTAGCCAGGGGGCCCCCATTAATGCTGCTGCGTGTGCAGGGGCCCACGAAAATAGAAAGCTCCCTGCAGCAGCAAGCGCGTTGATGCTAGCGGCACATTATGACACAGCGCCTTCGTCTCCGGGAATAAGTGATGACCTTGGGATGTGCGCGGTTGCTGTGGAAGTGGCCAGGGCTGGGGTGTACAGACACCTTAGAGCCGCCCACAAAGCGCAGCTGGAACAGTGGGGATTGGAGGAGAGGGAACAAGATAAACCTAGTGAAGATGACTTCATATCCGCACCACTTATTCTGAACTTGAATGGTAATGTCTTTTTCGGCCGGGCAAGGGAAAGACAGACACGTGGACTTTCAGGGTTTGCAGGATGGCCCCCGAATGCATTTAGAACCCATCTGGGGACCATCCGGCCAGTGAAACCTCTGAGTGATGTACTAAGCGTGTAGAATGCTGCTGCTGAACGCAGGGAAGCGAGGGGATCGTGTACTTTTCTGTGTTTGGTCTCTTTTCTTTTAGGGCCTGTGTATGTGTGTCCGCGCTGTGTACAGGTGCGGAGGAAGTGATGCTGCTGGCTGCTCACGCTTTTGGGGCGCAGCACCCCTGGGCCCGCCGTGTTCGTGTGGCTGTCAACTTGGAGGCGGCGGGGTCTCGTGGAAAGTCCTTTGTGCTGCAGGTTTGTCTGCTTCGCTTGTGGTTTTGCTATTCAGTTGTAATGAGGCGAATGTCTGTTTCTTCTCCCGTGGTATCGCACGTGAAGAATTATCGTATATGTCGTTATGTGTAGTTTCCTTTGCGCTGCAAAAGTCACGTTATCTCCTGTATATTACATTGTCTCATTGCCTTTAAGACTTCCTTGAATGCTGCTTACAGTCGTACATACATATTAGCCCCTAAACGCGTTGCTGGCGACACGTTGAGAAGCAGACAAAGGGCTCTGCAGCACATGGGATGTACACCTCCCCATTACATGGTAATGCATGCATAAGTTGACAGGCGGGGCTGCTCTCTCTAAAGTCAAGGCCTAATCTTCTTGCAGTTGAATAGCTTGTGCGTGCCAAGGGGGACGCGGACTTTGGCGCTTCATCCGCTGAGTTCCTGCTGCAGATGCCACGGCCGCTGGCTGGAAGGCTCCTTGAGGCTCTAGCAGCGTTGCCGTCACCTACAGCTAGCTCTTTCGCATCTGACATTTGGAATTCAGGGCAGTTTCCGGGGGAGACAGACTTTAGGTACGCGATCCGATGTTAATATTAAAAGCTGATCTTAGGGGGGCGTCCGCCAGAAAGAGGCCCCTTGAGGTGGAATGTTCGCCTTGCCGCTGCTGCGCTGGGTGCCTCTGAGGTCAGTTTCGTTTTTCTGTGGCTCCTTAAATATTCATACAAGTATTGCTAACGGTGCTGTTTCACTTCTGTCTCCAAGTTGTTGAGGAGCGGGTACTTCCCTTTTTGAGTAGACCGTAAAATCTGGGTTTGAATGACTGTATCCCGTTTGGCCTGAGTTCCCTCATCAGGGTTTGGGCTGAAGTGCTCGGCGTCCCTGGGGGCCTAGACTTGGCGTGGATTGGAGATGGCGCAAACTACCACACCCGCAGAGACACACTAGAAAATATGCGCTCGGGCTCTCTGCAGCACACAGGCAGCGCTGTACTTGGCCTCCTGCCGGCGCTTTTGCGTTTGACGGATGTTGTCGAGGAAACTGCAACAGAAGGAAACAGTGAAGACCTCCCGGAGGTTCCCTTTTATCAGGATTTACTAGCGTTGGGCCTGGTGGTTATTCGTTGGAAAGCGTTTTTGCCCTTAGCGGTTCTCGTTGTTTTGCTGCTGCTGCTGGACTACAAGCTACAGCAGAGAGTTCTCGGTGTACAGACATCCATTGCCTTGGTGATCCTTAGCTGCTTATCGTTTGGATGTAGCTGCCTCGCTGCTGCTACTGTTGCTTGTTGCTGCACAGTGCTAGGTGCACTGGTGCTGCAGCTCTATGGAACTTTGTATGTGCACTGGCCGATCGCTGCTGCGTGCCGGGCCCTTGTGGCGTTTGCTGCTTTGGCGTGGTTCTGGAACAAGACCTTTTTCCGCAAGTACGAATGTCTTGCCCTTTAAGGTTCTGTAAAGTGCCACAGCTGTTTCACTGCTATCGTTATTCTCCGTGCACCATGGCTGCTACTGCTGGTGCTGGCGTGGGTCACTGAACTTGGCAGCTGCCGTGCATGCAACTTCGTGTGTGCCTTTTTTTGGATTTTAGGATAAGATGGCGCTATGCTTTTGGACGCCAACCAATGATTTGTATGCATGCATCGCGGGCAGCTCCCCTTCTGACGCTCTTGGCTCTTTCCCTTGTCTTTTACAAATTGCGTGAGTTCCCTCGTTTTATGCAGCCGCCGATATTTTGTTTTTTGCTATCTGCCCGGCGACTTAAGTGCAGGCTACTGTAGTTCCCACACTGGGCGTCATGGGAACGGCGCAGATGCAGTCCATGGGATGAAGTCTGAGTGTTTTATCTGTTTGTCAGATCTTTCCGCATCCTTCTACTTTCTGCTGCTCCTGCTGGGACTTCTCGTCCCCCGCGTGGTTTTCTTGTTGTTCTGGTGTATACGATCACAAGAACGGACAGAAACCAGAGCGAGATGCAACACCGCGAATGAGAAGGGACAGGGGCATGACATGCCCGGGAGCAGCCGAAGAGCCCTTGATACTTCACTGAAAAGGTGCTGCGCCTTGCAGCTGGCAGACACGGTGGGAAGCTTGGTGCCCTCAGTTTTTTTGTTTCAAGTGAGTTAAATTTCGTTGTTCTTTGCGGCATCATCTGCAGAAGTTTATCTCGGCTTTGCAAGGTCATCTATGCTAAACAGGATTTGTCTTATCCATGACGAATCATGAGACGGTGTACGGCCACAACCCTTTAGGAACCTCCTACGGGCGCGGTTGCCCTGGCATGTTTATCTTAGGCGCTCAGTGACGCACAGCGATAGGGTGGCTGAGGCTGTCGAGTAGCTAGTGTAGAAGTGCGAGGAAGGTGAAAGGGAAAATATGAGCGCAAGAGTGTGTGAATACTTTGCAGGAAATCTAGATATTTACCTGATTCCTGCTATGTGTGTCTTGCAAGGAAAAGCGAATGGCCCATGTGCTTTCTGCACTTTTATTCTAAAGACGCGCTATCCCAATAAAGTATTAATATGCCGTTCGTGTGTACTCATGTGCTTCACGATTATTGCTTCAGATTGTTCTTTATCCGTGTCCCTGGATTCCGTTGTATTCATGCGTCGTCTTGCTTTTATGCCTCCAGAATTAATTCTCAATTTGCGTTTTATTGCATGTTGTCTCAGGCTCATATGGCGTTTCTTGATGGCACCAGTGGTCCAGCCGGCCGCATGGGGGAGTCTTTGTTGTGGATGGATTTGCTGTTGAACTTGGTTGTACTGGCGCCGGTGCTGCTGCTGCTTCCCGCCGTGTTGTGCCCTCCTTTTTTTCACATGCTGCACTACATTAGACGGGAAGAAAATAATGCAGTGAGAGGCAATGCTGAGACAGCTGCGCGTCGAAGAGAAGTCAAAAGACGATCCTGGGTGGTTCGAGCTCTTGCTGTTGCAGGGGTTGCAGTCGCCTCTGTCTTTGTGCTCAAGATGCTTACTTTTATTTTTCCTTTGGAGCCTTCACCAACCCCGATCTCACAAAAAAGCGCTGTGAGTGTTGTTGGGGAGGAGAATGCAAGTGAATTTGGAGGGGAGGACTTGGCATTGCTTCCGATTTCTGCAGACGAGCAACTGCAGCTGCGCAGCCCAAAAGTCGCGCACTTCCGGTCGCTGCTAGGGTTGCTTTCACTTGGCTTTGGTCATTACCTGCTACCCTCTCCAACATTCCCTTTCTCCCCTGTGAGGCCGCTACAGCTGCACTTTGTCATATTTAGACGTTCCAAGGTCACAGCTTTGCTATGTCACAGCGGCACGAAGGACGTCAGCAGCGGCGAAGCAAACGGGATCGAAGCACCCAACGACAACAGCAGCTGTGCGAAAGTAGAACAGCTGGAGGGAGAGGCGGGAACAACAGCGTCAGCAGCAGAAGAAGCAGCAAAAAGCGTCTTCAATTTTCCTTCTGAGCTGGAGGTCCTCTCGTCTACTCATCGTACGTCGCATTTCGTGCGGCATTCCACACGAGGCGTTGCAGTCCTTGGGCTAGGGCGCCAAGTTTTTTGGAACCCAGCGGCGTCGGATGCTCCCCTGGTTCTCTCTGCGGTGCGCAGAGCAATTGAAAATGCAGAGCAGGAAGCAGGTGCATATTCCAGCAAGGCCAAACAGACAGTTTGTGTACCACCTGCAGATACTGCAAACACCATACAACAGAGCGGCGGCGGAGTGGCTCTGGTGGAAGATTTAAGTGGGGACGCTGCGTTGGAAATTACAAAAGACACTGCAGATATGCGGGGCAGCTGCACCGCATCTGGTAGAAGTGACAGGACGCAGCAGATACATTCTCCGTCCTTCCATACTGTGGAGGAATCTCCGTCGCCCAAGGCCCCGCTGACCCGTGCTCATCTTCATTGGCTAAGTACAATTCGAACCCATTGGAGTGTCTATACAAATGGGAAGGTAATTTCGTGGAAAGATCTGTAACATACGCTTGCACTTTGTGCATCCAGATGCTGTTGGGCGCTTCACACACGATTTACGTCACTCAAGGGAACATCAGCGTGACACGGTTGAAAAACAGATGGCTTCATGGCGAGCTTCTCTCAGTGTCCGTCGTTTGGTCTAAGGTGTATATGTGGCACACAGGCTTTTGCTCCCCCTGTGAAACCAACGGGAAGTTGTCCCCTGTTCACTCTTGGGGTCCGAGGCAAGGTCGACGTGAGCTACGAGTCAGTAAACAAATCCTTAGTCACTACTTTATATATCCCCTTTTCTTCCTTCAACAGAGAGCCAGTTTTGCGTTGCTGTAGCGCAGGCACTCTAAATTGTTCGGTGTCAACATCTGTGCCTTCGGCTCTTTTAAAGTATATGCAAGTTCGTTGTGATATAATGGGGGCTGAATAGTCAGCCTGGAGGCAGAGAAATGTAGTTACTGGGGGATCTCGAGAGAAGGCTTGCGCGAGTTGGTTACTTTCACTCTTGTATGTCTACGCTGGCTTCTTTGGTTTCAGTAAGAGTTTGGACGAGACGCGCCTGATGCTGCTAATTGGAGGTTCATCTGTGGTCGCTATTACTCTGCCTGCACCTGGAGTAAAGGGCTGGAACTTGGAGAATCAAGCGCCCCTACGGAAGCTGAAAGCATGTGACTGCTACATGGTCACTGTAATAACGCCAGTGCCTCCTGCGATGACGAAGCTCGAGTTCTTCTTCCAAGGAAATGTTCCGGTGAGCTGATCTTGCGTAAGCAATGCAGGAAACCTTCTTGAATTGCTGCTTACATGCAGTGCATCTACCAGAAAACAAGAAAGCACTATGCACACTAAAGGAAACTGCATTGAATTTGCCCCAATGCTGTGGAGAGTGAGCGTTCGCGGCTTGCTTTTGAGGGAGCTAGAACAGTTGTGGCTGGGGAGTGTTATCAGGTCCGGTTCACGACGCGTTCAGGCCTGTTCGACGCCACGGTGCCTCACTGGGGCTGCTCACGAACGCCTCTCTTTAAGTCCGTTCAAAGCGCATCGCCAACTGCTCAGGAGACCCTCAGCGAGCAGCAGCCCGACTCCCCGTGGAGTGCAGCAGCAGGTCGGCCGAACATTAGTGCGATGGATAAGGAGGGACGGCTGCGTTGTGGTGTCACGACTTTCTGGGAAAGCCTGTTCAATTTATTACCGCCACATATTACTGCCGCGGGCAGCTATGTCGACGCTGTAGAGTGGAATCTGCCTTCTGCGCCGTTCTCGGCGGCGCTTGCCTTTGACTAAAGTCGCAGTAATTACTTGAGTTCGGAAATATTAGGAGTGTAACTGGCTAAGCTCAGTTTAACGGGTGGAACCGGGCAGCCTAGTGAACACCTTTTAGGACAAAAGTTACATTGTGGAGGATTATCGCAACGAGCCTGTCACAACAGAGGCTACTTCGCGTCGCATGGAACATGTGCAGCACCGACCCTCTGCAAGTGGCGTGCACTGCGTAGCCCGCACAAAGACAGCAAGCACGCCTGGGAATCCAAACACCGATGTGTAGCGCCCTAGCCTAACACTGTGGGAGCAGCAACAGCATTCACACATATCCTTGTCCTGCAAATCAAACAGCAAGTTTAAACGCGCGTTGACTGCTCTTTTATTTTTAAATTCATTTTCCTAGCCGTACAGGAAAGAGTAGAGTTCTTTCTCTTTCGGCAACACCCAGTATGAATTCCCTGCACAGCTTGCGCCCCGAAGATTGAACCCATTTAAGCCGGTTGGCTTGCCAGCGAAAGGGAGACCCTCACCAGCAGATAGAGCCAAAGGTTGGCGTAATAGCCAACATTCAAAATTAGGGGTACTTTACACGTCGCATTTAGAATTTACAACGTCATTGTGGCCCCTAAGGATTGTCTTTGCCAGCTGGGAAGGAATTCGCAGCCCTGCCAAGAAGCTCTAATGGGAAGCCACCGCAAAGCTAGTGCGACAGTTTGCGTGCGTCCGGTGAAGGCGTCTGTGCCGTGCAACGCAAAGCGAAGTTTTCAATGCCAAGATCTTGTCCGTCGTCTTAAATGAAGCTTAGCATGGGATTCGCATACTGCATGGCAGGACCAGGAGGATGCGGAACCGCCGTGAATTGGTGGAACTTCGGGACCATTTCAGAGCCTTTCAGCCTGAAAAAGGAGTTCATAATCGACGCATCCACTTGTCTTGCACAGTTACTCTGCAGTATGTGCACAAAAAAGTGACGAGCACCAGTTATAACACGGGGACGACGGGGGTTGCATACCTAATAAAAGCTCCCTTATTGCCCATTTCGTCGCAGTAGTTTGGAGCGCTAAAGACAGTAATCTGAAGGCGAAAAGAATACATGAACGCAAGCGGGTTAAGCGCCTCGGACAGACTCTTCTCCTTAACCGTTGCCCCGTATCCCTCTGCATGCCGCGCTGCATGTCAGCTACAACGCGTCCCGGTCACAGCTATGCTGGATTCTGAAGAATTATATCGGGGAGGCACGAACTAGAGCTGTCGTAAAATGAGGGCACGGCAACTCACCAGCTTTCCACCGTGTTCAACTTCGTATCCTGCTTCCTTCATTTCGTGAGAACGAATAACAAAACTTAAGTTGTTCGTTTTGAGAAACTTCTCCGTAATGTCTGGGCCGAATTGGCACGCAACACCTCTCTTCGACGGCGTCAATCCAGGAAGAGGAGAGGGGTCCGACCACAACAGATCCGTTATCAGCACTGCAAGTGCACCCATTCTTGCATAATATTTCGGAGCTCAGGAACATAAATATTGCGCACTGTCCAGCAGGCTACTCAACTCGTAGCCGCTAATAGCGTCTCTTGTGGAGATTTTGAGCCATGCTCAACATAAAACCTCGAACAACTCAAGGTGCCTCAACTGACCATCAGATCCTGGCTCCCTGTTGCGGTCGATTTTGCGGATGTCATCTAGAGTAACGTTCTCTTGGCGGGACAAGCCTCCATGAACTACAAAAGCTTTTTTGTTCACCACAAAAGCCAGCGGTAGCAGACGGAAAGCCTGAGGCAGAAAAGAGAAGCTACTGGACTAATAATCGCACACACTGCTGCAAAAGACGCACGCGCTCACTAACAGGGCATGCCAGGCTTACCACATAAAAAGACGACAGTGCAGCCAGCATGAGCCAGCATGATACAAGGTCTCCATCAGCTCACCTCGCTAAAGATCTGGTACAAACGCTCGTCATATTTGTTCAGCATTTCTCCCTTGAACCCGTACATTGCATTCATTTCGCTTGTCTCGTGATTTCCGCGGGTGATGTGCATGTGATTCGGGTAGGCCAATTTGCAGGCCACCATCATCAAGAGAACCTGCAAGTACACAACAACCTCAAGAGGCCGAAAAGCTTGAGCTCACAGTGAAGACGCCTACACTGGGAAGCGCCCTCCATAAAGGGATTTCATTGATTATCTTGATCTTGCGCGTTTTTTTCAAACGTCCTTTTGGGTTTCAGTCGTACCTCAACTGAGAAGCTCCCACGGTCAACAATATCACCATTGAAAAGATATGGATTTTCTTCCGATGGCATGCCGTTGATCGTAAAGATGTTCAAAAGATCATAAAATTGTCCATGTACGTCTCCACAAATGGTGATTTCCTTATCTTCAGGGATCTCGAGATCGACTAAAGATGGCAGCGGCTCCAGGATTTCAATAAAATCCACAGCCATGGCATAAGCATACTGCGGGTGCAGCCTATTCTCTGGGTTCTGCAGCCAAGTTCGAAGGGCCTGAAGGAACTCCTGGTCAACTTTGCCCTTCTTGTAAACCGGCCCAGCATAGTCCTCAGGGACGGGGAAAAGCTTTTCCAGGCCCTCGGCTAGCACCTGCTTCGATGCAGGTATTGTTTGTTTCGTGCGAATTGCAGCTGCAAAAGCCTGAGCCCGCAGCTGTTTCTTGCACTCGTTCAGACGGGACTGGGCATCTGCATCCTTTCCGCCACGTAGCTGACATACTCTCTCGAAGTCTAAGGACAGACAAAAACAACAGGGTCCTACTGGCGCAAGTCTCGCCCACATAATGTAAAAATAAGCACACGATTCAGCGTATACGTATTATGCATGGCCTCCAACGCCACTATAAGCCCAAGTACACGGCAAGACGTTTTGTGTGTGCATTTTTCTAAAGTTTTCCGGGCAAGAAGAAACAGCCATGCACCGAGCAGAACACACAGCTTTTAACTTGAAGTGATACTTGCCACGCTGTGCAGCCTTCAGGTTTCCCAGACAGAAGTACCCTGTGCCACGACGGTAGTAGCCTTTCGAAAACTTCGGGTTCAGTTTCAGGGCGCGTTCCGCATCAATGATCGCAGAGCCTGTGACAGGAAGCAGTCCCACACTGCCAGAAGAGAGCAACTGCAATTGAATTGATTACAGATCAGTTTTTTTTCGGTGTGAACCAGACAGTTTGCCGCTACTCCGAATTTATGGCATGGTTTTAGCATCAAGAGTTGACAGAACTGACAACAACTGCCGCACCGAAGTTTTCCATCCGGAGATGAGCGAACGCCCTGTTGCAGAGGAATACATGGAGCTGCGTTTCCCTGGGATCCACAGGTGCCTCATCTACTAGATCAATTGCAGCAGAATACTTGGCAACTGCCTCCGCATATTGATGTTGTTTGAAGAGCACGTTCCCCTCATTTTTCAGAGCTTCTGCGCGCTCTAGAACTGCAGCACTGGCCGAGACATCCTTTTCACTGCACGGAGCCACACTGCCGGCCTCTTTGGCAGCGCACGAGCCACCTCCATCGACCGCCATCGCACTGTCTTTTATCTGTCCCTCTTCCCTTTTCAAGGATTCTGCTGAGTTACAGCTGATGGCGGCGGAGTCGCTGCCTTCCGCCATGAGGCAGAGACGGCGGTTAAGCAGTTGTGTGACTCCAAATATCCTGTCGCATGCACTGTTGCACAGGCCCCCTAAACGCAAGCGGAGCAGAAAGTGGCGGGATGAACCGAGCTCAGACAGGTACAAGCCAATGCCTGTGTGTCGACGCGGCTGCTGCTTGCATAAAATGAACTGAGGTAAGTGTACCTTGGCCCACGCGACTTACAGGTTAAGACTACTGAGAAGAAATTTCGGCTGGTTGAAGAAGAGCAGCTGGTGCACGCTTGCTTGCTGTGCAAGACGAGAGCCAATGCATGCGCGCCATAACTTTGGGCGCCAGCGCGACTACTACGCGGTTCTGCCCAGTCAGATGCTGTCTACTAAGCACTTAGCATTTTAAATTTGGTTTGGCCCTCCAAATCTTATTTATGCAATTATTTCTCTTCGCCGTTATTCATTGCCGTGAATGCTGTCTACACACACACCGAACCCTGTGTGTGTTGTCCGCGCTAGAGAGGTAAGAGTTGCAGCTCGTTCAACCATCCATTCATTCAATATTCAGCCCGTGTAGTGTTACTGATAATGCAAATACCAAACTGCGGCTATTCAAAATGGGCGCCGAGGGCCCCAGGATGCCCACCTCTCTCGAGACACGAAAGCTGCATGCTTCTGGGTAGGGGTTCCACAACATTGAAGGCATCGTTTTGGAATGCAGTTTTCCGCAGCTCAATCCTGTAGCTCTTTAATGACGTGAGTGAATGAAGGAGCTCTGGGCAGTGCACTGCTAGATCACAAATAAAGGTTCTATGCGGCCTTACGCGGCACTGAATACAGCGGGAATGGGGTTTTGGGAGCACTGGAACGAACTTGTTAGGAGAGGAGAGCCCACGAATGCCACTGAAAACATTAGCCCGTTGAGGGAGAGTAGAGAGAAAGCTGGCAAACGCAAGTAGACACTGTGGTGGGGGTAGCCGGTAGCTCGATCTCACCCCCGAGCAGCCAACTTAGTGGAATACTTACTCAGAAGCAACATAGATACACTTTCATGCCACAGTTGTGCATTGCTTGTGATCGGACCCACATGAAGTGGCCTCAACAGCGGCAGTGACTGACTTTACAGAGAACGCTTCTAGCGCACATCCTGAGTTGCATGTTTGGCTGCAGTAAGCGTTGACTCGTGCATTGATCTCTCAGACGCACTAGCTGGCCGAACAAAAGAGGCCACTGTTGGGTTCCTAATGAAAGCTTCCTATAGTGGCAATATTGACTCTCCTGGTCACCTCTGTGGCTATTGCTTAATAACACAGGCAACCACTTTACTGGGAACGCTTCTGGCTCTCCTCCCAAGTTGCTTGTATGGTTGCAGAAAGCCTTGTCCCATGCATTAATTTCTCATAGGCATTTGTTTGCTAAAGAAAATAGGCGAGTTTTAGGGCCCTAGTAAGGTCTTTGCACAGTGGAAATGTTGACTCCCCTGGTACTGCAGAAGGAACCGTAAGGCTCCCCTGATTCCCTTCGTGGCTCTTATTTAAGAAGAGAGAGTCCCAGCAGCCCTCCGTCAGACAACAGCCTGGGTTCACTGTGTATGCGTTAATTTGCCCTGGAGACTTGTAAGCTGTGCTGCAGTGGTTTTCGCAGATTGTGTGGCAGTTCTTTAGCATTCGCAAGAGCTCCTAAGCCCTCTGGGCCTCTGAGTCAAACTGCGCTATGCAATTGGCATTCGCACTTATAGATATCTCATTGTTTACTGAGCTAGCGATATTGTATTCTGTAAATATTGTGAGCCTGGCGTTGGTGATGCTTTCTTGCTTCTCGCGTTACCTTCGCTGTCCTCGCCTGGGGGACTGCTACTCATTGGAGGCTGTCTTTGTCTTCTGTAAATTATATTTGCTCAAATTAACAACCAAAATAGGCAACTTTAGGAGTCTTCACGCGTCAACCAGGTAGGGATCAGCCCTCAGCGCGCAGTTGGCTTCTGGTGAACAAAAGACTTGCTAACCTGAGGCGAAGTAACTGCTGGCCTTCACAGCCGGCAGTGACTACTCTGAGGAAATGTGGGAGCTCGAAATCGAAAACCATATAACAATTCGTTGTTACTTCTAACAGTCTAAGCAGATTTCAGGCCTGTCACCGCTGTTTCACAGGAACCAACACCTGTAGTTGATGTGCCACCGCATATGAACTGGCAAATCTTCTTGTCACGAGCAACAGTAACACCTAAAAGTGCGAGATCTTTGTTGAACTGCCTCATCGTGTGGTGTTTACTGAGCCAAAGTAAGAGGCTTTGCGAAGACCTGGGCATTGCTCGTTTCTGAGGGTACCCTTTCGTAGGTTACCGGTTGGAGCTGCACCTCCGAAGAGTTAATATAGGCAGGCTCCAGAGGCATTCAAGCCGAAGTAATCACTGCTTAGGCTCCTCTTGAGTGATATTCACCCACATAATGTTTTTTGCCAAGTGGCTTTACATCCGTACCTTTAGAAAGGGCCCAAGGGTGAAATGCATGTCGCTTCTTGCGGCAGACTATCATGGACTAAGGGCACAACCAGGACAAATGTGTCCCAGCTCACTTTGTCTTTGCTGAAAAGATGGAAGCAACATTTTCTAGTCTGCATGCAGGTAGACGTCGCAGATTTCATCCTTAGGTGGTGTGATGCAGTGTGCACCTTGCAAATTATCCACATTCTCGCAAAATTCGTAGTGCCACTATGGCATTACTTACATGAAAAGGCAAGCATGCTGTCATTCACTGTAGCAGGCGAAGTCGCCCGTAGCCAGGCGAAGACCCTATAAAGGAAGCGTAGCCCTCGCAGTCTAAAACGAACAAGAAAATGGTTTGGGAAACTCTATCACTGCCTACAAAAGGTGTTTTGCGTCGATGGCTCCTGAAGAGGAAACGGGAACGCTTTCTTTGGAGAAGGAACAACTGCGGAGTTGCCCGTTCAGACCCGGTGAGATCGTTCCCGCCGCCTTACAAAGGCTTATACTCTCTAAAAATGATTAATCTTGAGCAGCGAAAATCTAAAAATAGATGAAAATGCGTGGAGAATGGCGGAAACGTAGTGTCTTCCGTACTCGTCTTGCTGTGGCAAATGGACGCTGCCAAATCTTGCGTGAGAAATAGCACGGAATCTTGGTAGAATTGGCACGGGTGATTCAAAACTGAATGGTTTAACTCAAATTTAGATGAAGCACGTTAAGGCAAGTCCCCTGTAAAGTCTTTCACAGAGCTGTGGCTGAATGGCAGAACCCAGCATTCCACGAGCACTCAAAGCTTGCTTGCTCCTCGTGCGTCGGGTTCAGTCATGAGACTTTCCATCCGCATTAGTTGCAAGAATGCCGACAATTTCGAGCTATACATAGCAAGCACTGCCTAAACTGATCATTAGTGCCCTGCACGAGACACAAGGCAGCCACTCGTCCTGGTGCGATGTGTGCACGTTCAGCGCATTACATTGACAACCTATGGGGTTATTGATCTTCACATTTTCGAAATTCAGACTGATTTCAAACGTAAATGGCAAGAATTAAAGTACACATTTGCAGAGGGCACCCGCTGAAACATCGTCCCAGGCGATACCGCAGCAGAGCGCTCTGAGGCCTCTTCGAGGCTCTCTTCCCGTGAGTCTTCCCATGCCGCGTGTTTGCGTAGTGAAGTAATATTCATTTTTTATGACTATATATCCTACAGTATGAGTTTATTTTGATTTCAAATGCTTTTAATGGGCAATTCAGCATCTAATTAGGAGTTTCGTCGCGGGAAGAGCAGTTGCAGCCATGAGGTAGCATTTTAGCGCACCATTCTCGTGCAGCGCCCTCCCCGTGTCTACAAGCGGGCAGCGCGGGATGAATTGAAACTTTCCCTGGAACTTGGCGGACACAAAAATTCCATTTAGTTGTCGACGCATCGCAATTCTTCTTTTGACGCTGTAACTGCTCTTGAACACACCACAATGCCACTGTGCCAGGTCGTGTGCAACACCCAAGTGGAGAGCGGCGCGGAGGAGGCCTTCCTCGCTGCTGTGGAATCAGGTAACTGTGACTTAAATTTACTGGAATAAACTAATTTTGTCCGTTGGTAAATAGCTTTCAGCTTTTCGTGTCGTGCTACTCCCACGAAGCCTTCGCTGCACTGGGATCTGCAGCCTGGTTGCAAGTTCACCAGCTTGTTCGCTTGTCTTTATGCGTTGTTGCTCCTCCAGGTCTCAGCAAAATCCTGGGCAAGCCCACCCAGTACATCACCGTAACCCTCACTCGGGGCTCCGTCCGCCACAGTGGCAGCTGCGACCCTGCAGCTAGTGTTTCTGTGCATTCAATTGGAGGCATCAGCAGCCGCACCAACAATATGATCTGCGCAGAGGTCGCGGCCCTGTGCCAGCAGCACCTGAAGGTGCCCGTAGAGCGCGTGTAAGTCTTGCTGGGTGTTTGAACAAAAGGCGCCACACATGTGGGGGAGAATTCGCTGCTTTTGCTGCTGCCGGCTAACTCGAGATAATGAAGAGAAGAGAATCCATACAGGAACCGCCTACCTTCACTCCATGTGGTGGCTGTAGGCTGTGTTCACACTTACTAATGTGTATTAGTGGCATAGTAATGTTTGAATATAATCTGAAAGTTTCTCCTGTTTTGCTTGCCGTTGGATGCAGGTTTTTCCACTTCGCAGATGTGAGCGCCGCGAACATCGGCATCGGTTCCCGCGTGTTTGGTTAAATAATTTGGCCCCATAATTCAACTTGTTTGATTCATTTGATTTGCATATGCGCAATAATATTTGCGCTACTTCATACTATTAAAGGTTTGGTTGATGCCCTTTGCTTTCCAACTCGATTTGCTACATTTCAAGTTTGGCTTCGCAATGTGTGATAAAAAGCCGCTGCTCTTCAGCTCTTCGTAACTTCCCACTTAGTATTCCGAGGATTGCAAAGAAGATTAGTTTTCCAAACATATTCGCGGGAAAATTCTATTCAGGAGGGTAGATGCAGCGCAGATCCTTGGGCAGGACCCACGACACCCATTTGTACACTATTTCCACTACTGCAAAAGAAGCAGCGGAGTTCGTTGGATCCAACTTGACCAGTCGTTGATTTGTCAACTGTTTCCCTGGTTTCACACTTCTAAAACTAGCTTTAAGTTGTTTAGGAACGAGAAAGCGCGTTTGCAGTGCTTGGCCTATCCCCCTGAGTCAAGTACACTGCTATTCTGAGGCCCGGACTACCTGTGGCTGCGTTTAATGGAGCCTAAAAAGCAACTAAACGCAAATAAGATGGTGAATCTGGCGCAGTCACGATGTACTTATTTGAATGTCTATAAAAACACGAAGACATGAGCGAATGCCTCAGTACAACCGGGCTCCCTGCAGCAGAGCCGGTTCAGTGCAGGCGGCGCTGCTGCTCAGCTGCAGCTGTGCTGCTGTTGCTTCTGCATATTCGCGGCAGGCAAAAGCAGCAAAGCGCAGAGGCCACATGTACTTATTATTCCTTGCGCTTTGTCTCAAGCGTTTCTTCCGTCTCGTCCAATCCCTACTCTTTGTGGCGCGAAAACAGGAAGGAGCTGAAGTTCGGCTAGCTTTTGTGTTGTTTATCTTTGCCTGTTTTCGAATTCGTTTCTGCCATTTCAGACTTCAGGTCTACGCAGCCACGACTGGGGGTCCTCGCCGCCCATTATTTGTCTTGTTCAAAATTAGTCATCAGTTATTCCCTTCGTCTCTTCCTTTTCTTTTTCAAAAACAATAGGACGCATGGTTCCTAGGGGCTAGCAAAACAAATGCTGCACAAATCGCCGCCCTCGGTGCAGCTCACAGCAGCTCCATGCTGTCCTCGTTGTACGCTGCTGGCGCCAAACGAGGGATCTGACATGAACAGCAGCAGCAGCAGCAGCAGCAGCAGCAAGCCAAACAAGCCGTGAAACAAATCCCATTTGCTATTTCGGGCCTCTCAAGCACGCTGCAGCTCTTCAGTTGTGAATAAGTAACGCAACAGAACAAAAGGAGGCAGCAACTCTCGCCAAGACTCACGGTGACACTTGTTTCCCCTTGGTGCGAACTCGGTCTGTTTCTGTTGGAAACTGCAGAGGCGTTATCGCCCAGTTCGAAGTCATCGGCACCAGACGGCCTCTGAGATGCTCCCAGGCGAGAGGCTGTGCGGCCGCTGCCTTGAGAAAAATTCACCAAGTTGGGCGCGTCGTCTTCAGTCTCATCCTGCAGCAAACACATATGCACAGCGCTTGAAGCCGCTTTGGCACAAAAAGAAAAAAGAAAGAAACAAATTTAGAAGAAAAAGCGCGAAACGAATACATAAATGCCATAAATGCCGGAGATCCGAAGAAACATGAAGCGGGTGTTGCAACGTGCTTCAGATGCTTCTGCAGCTCAGAAGTTTGCAAAATGACCTTCTGAGACCTCTCCACTTGCCTGTTCTGCATCAATAAAGCTCAACTCCGGCTCATACTTCGAAGTTCCGCGCACTCGGCCTCCCATTTCCTCTCCACTGTGGTGATTCTTCTGAACGTCATCCCCGTCACCCCAGCCAGAGGGTCCACTGCCGACAATGGCATACGAGACATTTGCGAATGTTTCAAAGCCTGAAAAAGCATAAACACATTTAAACTAAAGTTCCATTGTGCTTGTTTTCGAATTGTCCTCAATGCACAAGTCAGCAGAATCCCAATTCAAGTTCAAAAAGGGGTTTCAGCAACGCCACGCTGACTGCCGCACCCGTGTTTCTAAAGAACGCCTTCAGACGGCCCGTCTTCGCAAGGTAGTTCAATATGCACATCAACAAGACAATCAAAGATATCAAAAGCAAAACGAGCTTCCCGCCACGACTGACTGGAGAATGGGGCGGACACGGAACAGCCACTTTCTCAGGTACCCATCCGCCTTCACAAACGTCTCCCGGGACCTGCAGGTGATTCGAAAAAGAATTCAAGGGCGAAAATATACATTTTAGAGCTGAAACAGTACAGAAAAAGGTACGAAAAAGCAAGGAAAATACACATTTTAGAGCTGAAACAGTACAGAAAAAGGTACGAAAAAGCAAGGAGTGCTCCCTAAGTCAAGCTTTCACGCTGTTCCCTTGAAACTAGAAAAAAAAGGTTTCAACGTGCACCCGAATCGCTGGAGTTCGAGCAACCAGGCAGCTGTGCTTTGAATGGCTCTTTGACTGACTTTTCTGTACGCTGCCGTGTAGAAAAATGCTGAAGAAGTGCATGCAGCAGCAGCTGCTGCATCTGCTTCGTCGGCATACTGGTTGAGGCCTGCTGCAGTAGAGGCCGCCGCAGCAGCAACATCAGTGGGCAAACAATAAACAGATCCCACGGCTCTCTCGAACCCATATTCACATTCGTAGTCTTCGATGGTGCACGGACAGACCTGAACACGCACAATCCCCCCGCAGGCAGCAAACTCAGCGCTGCAAGTGCTATAAGTAAACAAATAATATATATAAATATAATTAATTGCAATGAAAAGAAACTTCTGCTGCCAATTTATTCGCACCTGCACGCTGCGGGGGCGCTCGAAGTCGCGGCCGTTGAAGCACTCGCTGGTTTGCTTGCGACGGGTGTATGTGACGTGTTTACCCAAAATGCACTTTTCTCCCGATCTTCCATCTGCCAAACCGAAGATAAAACAACAAAAAAAAGCCATTTGGCCATTCAAATGCACATAAACAACTACGGAGTGGAGCAATATCGGAAGAAAAGGACAAATCGCGACGAAACAGTCACATTGGTATCCGAAATAGATCAAAGCAGTTCAAGAAGTGAAGCCAATCAACCAACCTGAGGGGCTCCAAGTCTCATAGTCACTAGAGACTGAGTCCGCAGCCCAAATGCCTTTACATCTTTGTTGGTTCAAAGCCGCGAAATCCAGGTGAAACAGAACTCCTGAATGACAAAAAGTTCAGATGATCGCTTCAGCTGCTGAAGTCTATGAAGTTGATATTTTTAATAACAATTTATTTCATTACAGATATAAATTGTGATTGAAAAGGCCAATGCCACGCTATTAATTTATTATTCAGCAGCTACTTAGCACCGAAGTATGCGTGCATGTGGGCGGTCGCCCGTAATCACTGCACACGCGATCCCGCATGAAATGAACATAACAGACCAAATTATGAGCGTGAATGCCTTAAAATAACAAATGCAAAGATTATTTAATTGATTTCAACTCAAAATTAAACCAGTTTAGCGCGAAACCAGAACACCAGAACGGGAAGCGTTTGCGGCGAGTGCTGCTTCAGTTCAGCAAATGCATGAAAGCAGTTGTCTGCGTTCAAATGAAGCCCTAGCAAACCCTAGCTGATCCACGCGGAACAAAATGCAAACAGCGGGCAAATAAAGCCGCAAATCGGAGTTCTGCTTCCCCACTGCTGCTGCAGCAGCCGCAAATCGGAGTCCTGCTTCCCCACTGCTGCAGCAGCAGCACCGGGAAGCAGGACTGCTCCAGCAGCAGCAGCAGGACTGCAGCAGCAGCAGCAGCAGCAGCGCTCACCTGCATTGTCGTTTTCGCGTTTGCCGTAGAGCAGAAACTCCACGCTGGAGGAGTTGGGCTCGATGACAATGTTGTCGACGAAGAGCGGCGCTGAGCCCAACTCGAAGTCGTACCAGCTCTGGCCTTCGTTCCAGCTGAACACCACCTGCAAAAAAAGAAGTTCGAAAAGACATTCCGAAAAGAACTCAGAATGAACTGCTGCGCCGCAGGCCACTGCAGCAAACAGAATCACACACAGCCACTCAACTTGGCTTCCAGCAAATGCATGCATGCACAACTGAGTATTCAACACAACTTAACGAGCCAACTCGAAAATAAAAAAAAACTTGAACAGAATCTGCAAAACCTCAGAAACGCAGCATGCGGGAAGTGCAAAAGTTGAATTTTTCGCAGTTTCGCGTGGACTTGAGATTTTTTTTCGGGAAAAAGATGAAAAATGGGGAAAGTGGCAAAAAGATGAGAACATCGGGAAAAAAGTGGCAAAAAAGCCTCAAACATCGGGAAAAAAGTGGCAAAAAAGCCTCAAACATCGCAAAAAAGTGGCAAAAAAGCCTCAAACATCGGAAAAAAGTGGCAAAAAGCCTCAAACATCGGGAAAAAAGTGGCAAAAAAGCCTCAAACATCGGAAAAAAGTGGCAAAAAGCCTCAAACATCGGAAAAAAGTGGCAAAAAAGCCCCAAACATCGGAAAAAGTGGCATTATTGCAAGAAGTGTTTGCGCCTGCCTGGTTGGTCTTTTTGGTGTCGTCGGCCATGACGAGGAGCCCGCCGTGGTCGCCCATTTCGTAAATGAAAGCGCCCTTGTGGGCTTCGATCCAAGTGAGGCCTCCGTCTCTGCTGAGGTAAGTGTTGACTTCGTCTTTTTCGCTGCGGAGGTAACTGCCCACGTTGCCAGTGCCCATAATAATGCCAATTGCGTTTTCAACACTGTAGAAAGGCGCAAACTCGTTGAACTTTGTTATTCCGTTCAAGTGCAGCCAACAGTTCTCGGGAGGACAGGCGATTTTCTGGCCCCTGCTGTCCACTTTCGGGGCTTTCAAGTAACTCCAAACCCCCCCTTTGTCGAAAGAAATTGCAGTTCTCGTCACGTCTTCTCTCCGCCCCTTGCTGGCCACTCTTTCATGTTTTTTTTCCACTTCCGCCTGCAGCCCCTCGGCCTCGAGTTCCTCTTGCTTGACCCTTTCTTCTTCCGCAGCAGCCAGGGGGCCCCCGGGAGCCCCCGGGGCCCCCGGGGGCCCCCGCAGCCCCGAGGCCTCCACGGAGTCTTTGAAGTTCGCTATATAAACCCCTTCCATTGACAAGACTTTGTCGAATTCGCATTCGCCAGTTCCCGCGCGAATGTTGTTTGGCAAAGACAGTGCAAAACGGACTCCCTTGGCGTCCGATATGTACACGTTCCCCGTGTCCCGGCCCTGACGCGCAAACCCTAAACCCTAAACCCTAAACCCTAAACCCTAAAACGGGGACTCAATCGCCTCGCGGCGAATTCGGAAGAGAGGATCGCTGCAGGGCTCCGCTGCGGTGCTGTTCAACTTGACTGGCACTCTTTTATTCCAACTAAACTCTCTCTTTGCATGCAAAATTCGTCCATACTAACTAATTAATTTTAATTAATTAATTAATTAATTAATTAATTAATTGATTAATTAATTAATTAATTAATTAATCGGACCCCTTCCCCGCCGTGGTTGACGTGCAGCATGATGGCTCCCTCTGAAGTGTCCAGGACTGTGTAGCTCTTCTCTTCGATTTCAATAGGCAATTTGGCGGCCTGTGCGCATATCAGAGAAAAAGCCCCAAAAGCCCTTGCATGCATGCATGCATGCACGAAGTCCTCGCATGCATGCATGCAAGAAGTCCTTGCATGCATGCATGCACGAAGTCCTTGCATGCATGCATGCATGCATGCATGCAGGCCTTGCATGCAGGCCCTTTCAGGTGTAGCTCCACCGCAGCCCGCGCAAACGCTCACCGAGAAGGTGACGCCCCCGTCAGTGGAAACGAGAAGCGTCACAGTTTGTTTAACTGCGTCTTTGACTTTTGCGACAAAGAAGTATCCGTTGGACAAGAGAAACTTGTTGCCGCGGTAGACCAGCCGGCTGACTGTGCGGCCGAAGTCCTTGGTCACCATGAGGTCCACGTTTTTCGACTGAGGCGGAAAAAAGCCGGAAAAAAGGAAATAAAGGATAATTAATGAAAAATACGCAAAAAGAACTTCTTTAATCTGTCGAATCCCGGATTTAAGAGCCGCTTTCCGCGGAACGCGGCGCGGGCGGCGCGGCGCTTCGGGTGTATGTACACCTGAACTCACCCATCCGCCGTACCGCGGCTGGTCGCCAGAACGGCCTCTGTGTTGCGTGAAGTAAATATTGTCTTGCACTTGAATATGTTTATCTCCCCAGGAAAACTGAACAACATATTCACTGACAAGCTTGAAAGAGCGGCCCAGGTCGGGCGTGTAGTAGAGCTGGTGGTTGCACTCTTCTTCTTTTTTCGCAGAGTCCGCGCTCTTCGCGTAGCAGGCGTCCGTCCACGTGGAGACCAGCGCGTAGCCCGCGCGGGTGGGGTGGAAGTGGAAGTTGTGGATTGTCGAAGTGTAGCGAATTCTCCGAAAACTGACAGCAGCATCTTCCGAAACGAAGTGGTTTCTCTTCGTTCCCACGATCACGACGATGTTCTTGTTCACGGGCGAGACCATGATGCTGTCCACGAGCGCGACGCCGCTCGCGGGGGCCCCGGGGGCCCCCTCGGGGGCCCCCCCCGCCCCGGGGGGCCCCCCGGGGGCCCCCCCGGGGGCCCCCCCGGGGGCCCCCTCCTCCGTCTTCAACAAATCCGATATCTCCATCCAAGTCTTGCCCCCGTCCTTCGACCTGTACAATCGCCCGTTTCGAGTCTTCAACAAAACTGTCCGGTGGTCTTCTCCGCACCACTGAATGTCTTCGATGTGGCTGTCGAAAGAAACCTCCGAGACCGACACTGCAGCCCGCAAACCCTAAACCCTAAACCCTAAACCCTAAACCCTAAACCCTAAACCCTAGGGCGGCCGCGTGCTCCTTTTCGCGGTCCGTTTGCTCGTCATAGAACGCTCACGGAAGAAACACTTGGAGGATATAAAATGCAAAAAGAAAATTGCAACTTTTTAATTTGAATTTCTTTTAAGCTTTTTGCTGCTGCGTCTTTCTCAAACAAACTAGATTTGCTGCTTCTAAAAGGAACTTGCAGCTTCTGTTCAATTTATTTTTTTGAATTTATTTTTGAATTTATTTTTTGCTTTTTTTGCGCATTTGGGGTCTGAGAATGCTTTCTTTTTCGGAATACTGCATTTAATAATCTCTTCTTTCTTTACAAATAATTAATTTGCATTTATTTGTTTGGAAAGAACTGCTTTCTCACCTTTTTTGTTCGTCACCGCAGCTGTAGCTACACCCCAAGAGGCGCAGAGCGCGGCCAAAAAGGCCGCGAGGCCAACAGAAAAGACTTTCATTTGTTGTCAGTTGAATGCGAAATAAAATGCAAAAAAAGAAGAATAAGAAAGTGGAAAAGGCCCTCGAGACCGGGGAAAGAGTCAAGGAATTTGGCGAAGAGAAAAAGGAGAAAAAACGGAAAAGAAGTCAAAATTTGCAAATTCAAGTTCTGCAAAACCAGCGCAGACAACAGACGCAGCAGCAGCCAGCTTCGCAAACTCCTTTGCTTCTGCTTTCCCGCTGCTGCTGCAGTTGGGCATTAATTCAAGAAAGAAAGATTTGCAAAATGCGACTGAGACCCACGGCTGAGACGGGGGGCCCCAGGGGCCTCTGCTGCGTCGGCTTGGCCACTGCGGAAAAGGGAAAAGAAAAAGAAAAGAAAAAGAAGGAAAGAACAATCAGCGCGAGTTGGCCGCGTCCAGCTTGCTGCGGTTCCTGCTGCGGCTGCTGCTGCTGCTCAGGCCGCTCCCCCGAAGGCTAGAAGCAGCAAATAAGAAGCGAATATAATTATCAGTTTTATTTCTAATTTTGAAACAGTTTGGAAACATTTCCCAACTGCCGCCCTCCGCATGTCCGACGCAGCTGATCAACACCGTCCTTGCAGCGCGGGCCAGCGTTGGGGGTCCATTTTGCCGGTTTCTGCGACAAGTCCGGGGGAATCCGACGCTAAATCGCGCGAGACACCGACTAGAAACTATTTTTTTGCAAAATTAACGCGAAATGTTCTTCAAAAACCCGCAAGTTGCCTCTCTTTCCGCGCAAACAGCAGCACGAGCACCGCGTTCTCACCAGCTGGGGAAGCGCACAGCTGCCGACTCTGGGGTGTACGTACACCTCAATTTCGCCGCGCGCCGAGTTTCGCAATTCAAAGTCCGACTGAGACAGTTCCAATTAATTAAAGATTTAGCGGAAGAAAAAGAAGAAGAAATGCTCTTAATGCAGCTCGCCTGCATGCATGTTGTGGCCCTGTTTACTGGCTGCCTGTGCAGCCGAGGAAAGACCTCTTTCAGTGTTGCTTCGATTCTGCTCCTGACTTTTATTCAAATATAATTCAAAACTACTTTACTTTCAAGTTCCACTCCAGTTCTTTGTTTTGCTTCCCCCCAGCTTTGCTGCGGCCTCGCTGCTGCTGCTGCAGCAACCCAGCCACTGCGGAGTGTTGCAGAAGCTGAGGACTTCACCAAATATTCGATTTGAATTTTTGGCCATTCAACTTTTGCATGCATTTCCACTTTTCCTTTTCAGCCATTTCTGCCCAGCTGCAGCTGCTGCAGCAGCAGCAAACAAGACACCAGCTATCCTTGCAGTTGCTTCAAAGCTTTCGCATTATTAATTAATTCATTTGTTCATTCATTTCTTCACAAGTTCCCGGACCTTCCCCAGTTTTGAATTCTTCTTTTCCATCAAATTGAATTAAAAGAATTCACAAAAGCTCGACGGAAAGCTTTCCAATTGTTTGCATTCCAAATCTGTAAAAGTCGCTTTTGGAATCTTTTCTTTCAGAAAAGTAATTTGCATTTCATCAAAGTGCCTTCTCACTTAGGCCTCAACTGTAAACTGCGTTTTTTGAATTTTATAAATTAATCTTTTACTGACAAATTCCATTTCAACTTTCAACTTCAACTATCTAAATTACAACACAAGTTTTCTAAAGTTGCTTCAGAGAGGACGAATACAGAACAAAGTTTTTTGCAAAAAGTGCAAATTCGAATTCGCCAAATTCAAATGTTGAAAAGCCCCAAAATGCATGCAAATTTTGCAGAATAATATGCATGCAAATCGCCCTTTGGTAAACATTTTAAAATGTTTCTTTTTTTAATTAATGAGATTTAGCGAAAGCTGCGAAAAAGAAGCAGAAGAGATGCTGGGCTGTACGTACACCTCGCGGCTCTGCCGCTTTGCGACTTTTCGCGCAATTCAACTTTTCGGATTTGCGGCAGATTCGAATTAAATTCGGCTCAATCGCCTTGAATTAATTCAAATTTAAGATTTATTTTTAATTTTTAATGCAGATTTCATTTAAATTGCAACTTTAATTCAAATTTAACTCCAACAGAAACCCTCCGTTTCAGAGGGGGCTGTCGCGCCGCAGCGTCTGCAGTGTACGGACAGCTGGTCGCTTCTTTTCGCGTTTTCTCGAGAAGACACAAAAACTAAAAAGTAAAATAAAGACAAAAGAGTGAATTGAAGCATTAAGGAAAGATAAGTAGGAGAAGCAGCAGCAGCAACATCGGAAACAAGCAGCAATGCAAATAAATAATGGAAAGACAAACGAGAACAGCCAGGAAGCCAGAAGCCAAGGGAGGGAAAACAAACTGCTGCAGCACAGCTGCACAGATCGGCTCCAGCTAGCTGCTGCTGCCCACAGCTAGCTGCTGCTAGCCATAGCTAGCTGCTGCTGCCCACAGCTAGCTGCAGCTAGCCATAGCTAGCTAGAGCTTGCCGCAGCTCACTGGGACCTGCCGTGGCTAGCTAAGCCACCTATCCACATCCTGCTGCAGCTCGCTCCACGTAGCCACAGCTGACTAGCGCTGGCCTCTGCAGCCACAGCTAGCCACAGCTAGCCACAGCTAGCTACAGCTAGCTACAGCTAGTCACAGCTAGTCACAGCTAGCTACGCTTAGCTACAGGAAAGAGTCTTTGTGAATGCTACACCAAAAAGTGTCTTAGCGCCACTTTTTTCTCTCGTTTCTTCTTCTGCTTTGCTTCAGCCCCAAGCTTAGCTGGCTAGCTAACCAGCTAGCTAGCTAGCTAACCAGCTAGCTAGCTAGCTAGCCAGCTAGCTAGCTAGCTAGCTGGCTAGCTAGCTAGCTGCGGACGCAAAAGGGGCCTCTAGCCAAGCGAAATGCGCAGGAATGCCTGGCGGCAGCAGAATTTGTCTTATTTTTATTTAATTAAAAAGAATAGAGACTGGCATTTATTTAAAAACAAAACTAAACTTAGCCACTGAGTTGTCCTGCTGTTTCTTCCGGTGTACGTACACCGCAACTTGGCTGCTGCTGCTGCACTTCGCTGTCTGTACACTTCATGCACGCCGGCGTCTTCACTTCTGCTGCTGTGCTGCTGCTGTGCCTGCTGCTGCTGCCGCTCGCACCACTCGCACGCTACTGCTGCTGCTGCTGCTGCTGCTGCTGCTGCTGCTGCTGCTGCTGCTGCTGCTGCGAGTCACTCCGGGGGTGCAGCGCGAGCAGCAAGAGCTGCTGCAGTGACACGGGAGTAGGCCGGCAGCTTCGGGGGAAAGTACCAAAAAGCTTCCGTGAGAGAATCCATTCCCGCGGGTTTTTGAGTTTTATTTTTGCAAATTTGAATTCTTTGGTTTGTTTTGGCAGCAGCAAAGACATCCGCGAGGGTGTGGGGCCCCACACCTGGGTGGCCAATGAGTTGGTAGGAAGTTTCGAAGCTGCGGGGGGGCCCCACACCCTCTGCTGCTGCTGCTGCTGCTGCTGCTGCTCCTTTTTGCTGCTGCTGCTGCAGCTTAAGTGAAGACAAGTCGTGGCGGCGGTCTCGAGAAAGAGAAGCATCAAAAAGGGGGTTTCCTTCGGGTGTATATACACCTCCGCTAGCAGCAGTTGCTGCTGCAGGGCTCGTCAGTGCTGCTGCTGCTGGCGGCGCTGCTGCTGCTGGAGTGATTGTTGCTGCTGCCACTATTCCCGACGCCTTTGCTGCTGCAGCGCTGCTGCTGCAGCCGCCCCGCAGCGTGCTCTCTGCTGCTGCTGCTGCTGCTCCTTCTTGCTGCTGCTGCTCCTCTCTTATGTCGTAATTCAAAATCGGAAAACTTCTCCGCCGGTCTTGGTAAGAAGCCAAGTAAGTTGTGGGGGCCTCGGGGGCCCCGGGGGCCCCCGGGGGGCCCCCAGGGGGGCCCCCAGCCTTATTTGCTGCTGGCCGATCTGCCTTCAACCACTTGGGGCCCGGGACCCCGGGGGGGGGGGGATCTGAGAAACCCCAAAGGGGGTTTTTGATGGCTGATAAAGTGCAGAAGGGTTCTCCAGCAGCAGCTGCTGCTGCTCCTGCTGCTGCTGCTGCTGCTGCTGCTGCTTCTGCTGTCGCGGGCCGCGTCGATTTGCCTACTGCTGCTGCTGCTGCAGCTGCAGCGGGCCGCGACGCCCACATGCTGTTGCTCGGCCCGTGGAAGACGCTGTAAGTCGTTTCGAAAAAGTTCATTTCCGCAACAGCAGCCAATGCAGCAGCAGCAACAGCAACACCAGCAGCAGCAGCAACAGCAGCAGCAGCAACAGCTAGAGCCGAGCACCGTGCTGCAGTGGAACAACAGCCCTTTACCTGTCCTAAGGGTTAATAATAAATAAAATAAGAAATATATATTTGTTTTTAATTATAATTTACTATCTGGAGAGCTTCTGATGCCTTGGCCTAGGCGCGAGCAGCAACGGGAGCCTTGGGGGCCCCCAGGGCCCCCAAGGTCACCTGCAGGTGACTCGACTTGCAGCCAGGACTTCTGGATGGCCTTAAGTTCTTTTTCTTGTTTTATATAAAATAAATAAATAAAATAAAACTATTTAATTTGTTTTTTTAATTTAAAAAAGGCTTTTCGCTTCAATAGGTCAGCTCTTTGCTGGCGAGTCGGGTGATGCCCCGGGGCAGCGCCGCTCGCTGCGGTGTCTCAGCAATAAATAAAGAATAAATATATTTAATAAATGAGCAAATAATAAACAAATTAATTTTAAAAATATAATATTTTCAAAAAAGAAACTTTTTGTGCAGAGAAACGAAGCCGCAACGGCACTTGGCAGCAAAAACGAAAGCAAACCCTGAGCCGGTGCGCTGCAGCCAGAGTGGCCAGCAGAAGGAGCATTTATACGAATAATAGATTAGAATATGCATTTATATAAATAATAAAAGAAATAAACAGACAAAAAAGCAAAAAAAGGCATTATTTGCTTCCAAATTTGCTTCCAATGTTGCTGCTGAGCAGCAGCAAAGACACAGCTTTCCGCCCACGGAAGCAGCGCTGCAGCAGCAGCAGCAAAAAGCACTTCGCCATTTGTTGTGCTGCTGCAGCACGAGAGGCAGCAAAAAGCTTTTCGGGTTAAGAAGCAGCAGCAGAAATGAGTTCGTTTTGTTTTATATTTAATAATATATTATTATTCCTTTATTCCCATTTTAAATTGATTTTATTATTTCTTATTATTCAAAAATGCCTAAAGGGGCTCAGTGAACTATCCTGCTGCTGCCCCAGGGGCTGCAGCAGCCAGCCGCGCCCGCCGCAGCTGCTGCTGCTGCTGCTGCTGCTGCTGCTGCTGCTGCTGCTGCTGCTGCTGCTGCTGTGCTTCTGATGCGCTGCACATCCGCTGCCGCTGCACGTTTTTGCTGCTGTGTTGCACATCCTCTGCTGCTGCCTCCTGCTGCTGCTGCGCTGCACATGAGCTGCTGCAGCATCCTTTTGCTGCTGTGCTGCACATGAGCTGCTGCTGCACCCTTTTGCTGCTGTGCTGCACATGAGCTGCTGCTGCACCCTTTTGCTGCTGCGCTACACATGAGCTGCTGCTGCCTCCTGCTGCTGTGCTGCACATGAGCTGCTGCTGCCTCCTGCTGCTGTGCTGCACATGAGCTGCTGCTGCACCCGTTTGCTGCTGTGCTGCACCTTAGCTGCTGCTGCATCTTTTTGCTGCTGCGCTGCACATGAGCTGCTGCAGCAGGCCTCAGCAGCAAATAAGTGGAAGCAGCAAATTAATGGATTTGTCCTCGAGAGGACTTGAAGCAAAGAAACTCTTTGCCAGCACTTGGAAAGAAACAGAAAAACAATTTAAGATTTAAAAAAGATCTTTTTTATTTTATTTATTTCCAGAAGTCAAATACATTTATTTGAACTCTCGCGCCCCCCAGACTCCCCCAGCCTGCCCCTAAACCCTAAACCCTAGACCCCAAACCCTGGGCGCCCGCAGCCAAACCCTAAACCCTAAACCCTAAACCCTAGGCCCCAGCGCGCAGCCGGACTGTGGCCCTCGCCGCGGGCCTCCTTGGCGCTTCGCCGCGGGGCCAAAGCCCGAGCCCCAAACCCGAAACCCCAAACCCTAAACCCTAAACCCTAAACCCTAAACCCTAGATTTTTGCGCCGAAGTGGGGGTCTATTGCGAAGCCCGAGAGGGCCGTGTCGGCGCTTCTGGTCATTGCCTGGCCAATGTTTTGAATTGGATTTCCTTGGAGTTTTCCGGAGTTGAATTTTCGAGGAACAAAAACCAATTTGAGGGCCTTGAGGTGCCGCAGCAGCAGCAGCAGCAGCAGACACAGACACAGCGACAGCAGCAAAGCCCCGCATGCAGAAAACAGACACAAAGCAGCAAACACTGTTGCAAACAAATAACACAAAGTCCCCAGTCGAAACAAAACCACCGACAAGTGGTAGCAACGCTCCATCACCTCTATCACCTGCGCCCGCAGCAGCAGCAGCAGCAGCAGCAGCAGCAGCAGCAGCAGCAGCAGCAAAAGGCAGTTTGGGCTGAAGGCTCCTGCGTGGTAAGTTCGGCTTTGAAGTGCTTTAGGGTAAAAAACTAGAGCCTTTAAAGCAGCGGAAACCCCCAGTTTGCTGCAGCTTCTGGCGAAGTTCGCTGCTGCTGCTGCTGCTGCTGCTGCTGCTGCTGCTGCTGCTGCTGCTGCTGCTGCTGCTGCTGCTGCTTCTGCTGCTGCTGCTGCTGCTGCTGCTGCTGCTGCTGCTGCTGCTGCTGCTGCTGCTGCTGCTGCTGCTGCTCACCACTCTGAATGACTCCTCGCCCTGCCCCGTGAGGGCCTTGCCGGGGCCCCACACATTGCAAGTGGTGCAAATGACAAGTACGAGAAAGTTGAGGCCGAGGGCCCCCGAGGCTGTGAGGGAAAATATGAGGCGGAAGCCATCGGGGCCCCCCGGCACATCTGTTTGCAGCTGCACCACTGTGGAGGCGAAGCCTCCTAAAAAAGAAGCCAAAGTTGCAAATTTCTTCAAGACTTCGATCCAGTATTGCAGCTCGAGCTGCCGCAAGTTCAAGTTCTGGCGGGTGAAGCCGGCGATCACGTGCGCCTTGTTCGCCTGCAGCATCGCCGCGGTGGTCCTCGCAGAGGATCGGCGCGTGAAATGCGGAAAAAACAAAAAGTCGAAAAAAAACAAACAAAAAAGAAAGAAGATCACCGAGAAATGACCGAGAAAATGCGAATTGGCAACAGCTGGTCTGGTGCGCAGCGGTGGTCACAGCCGATAAGTTCAGACTAGGCGGCGTTAAAAGACGAAACAGCTCCAAAACTAATTTAATTCGACTTTATCTACGCAAAATAATCAATTTAAAAACCCGATATAATCATTTGCATGCAAATTCGCGAAGAATTAATTGCGGCGCCGAGCCACGGCCGACCCGGTGGTTCGCTTCGGGTGTACATACACCCCAGAAACCACGAACCACCAGCTGCTACCAACAAAGCGGAAACTGAACACAATTTTGATTTTTTCCGCATTTATTCAAGTTTGGAGTCATTATTCTCGAATAACTGAACACAATTTTAATTTTGCCTCGCATTTATTCAAGGTTTCGCGTCATTATCCTGCAATAAGTCCCAAATTCCCCCTCAAGACACCCGGGATCAGTTCCGTGGCCGCTTCCTCCAGAGCCTCCTGGGAGCCACTAGACTTAATTTTCTTTTTTCGACAAATTTGAAACTCGAAATACAAATATAAGCTTTTAAAGCAAGTCTATCAAAGCCAAAGTTTGGCTAACATTTCACACTTGCGACTTTGAACACTTATTTCCCATATCGAAAGCTTCTCAAGTTCAACGTGCAGCTAGCCGTGGCTAGCTACAGCTAGCTTCAGCTAGCTAGCTACGAGCTAGCCTCTAAACTTAAGCCCCAGTCCCACTTAATAGCTGGCCAGACGAGCCGCGACAGCGGGTCTTACGAAAATATCCGTAATAATAATAATTATTATTATTATTATAGTAGTAATAATAGAAATGATAATAATAATAATAAAAGTAAAAATAGTAATAATAAAAGTAATAATAATAATAATAATAATAAAAGTGATAATAAACAGCAAAAAAATAATACTAGTAATAATAATACTGGTAATAATAATAGTAATAATAAATAATAATTATTATTACTATAAATATTAACAAAAGGCAAAAGCAGAAACTGCAACAGTGCCATTGTCAGTAAAGGAAAGCGCATGCATAAAGTAAAAAGCGCAAAGTGAGGTCATTGTGGGGCCCCGAGGGTTTAGGGTTTCTCGATCGAGGGTTTAGGGTTTCTCGACCGAGGGTTTAGGGTTTCCAGATCGAGGGTTTAGGGTTTCCCCATCGAGGGTTTCGGGCTTGCGAGTCGGGGTCTAAGGCTCAGGGCCATGGGGCCCGCAGGCGCAGGGTTTAGGGTTTAGCTAGGGTTTAGGGTTTAGCTAGGGTTTAGGGTTTAGCTAGGGTTTAGGGTTTAGCTAGGGTTTAGGGTTTGGCTGGCTAGCTGCGCGTTAATGCAGTCCAGTCTGGCGCGAAGTGCATCCACTGCCTGGTGAACTTGCAAACTTAATTTTATTTTATTAATTTCCTTTTCAGCTTCTCGCCGCGCAAAGCCCTTCAAGCTGTCTAGACACCCCACTGCAGCAGGAAGGTCCGCTGCACACGAGCCACAGCAGCAGCAGCACACGGGATGCAGCAGCAGCAGCAGCAACAGCAGCAGCGACCGCCCGCAGCAGCAACCCCAACAATTCCAGCGCCAGCAGCAGCAGCCACAGCCGCAACAGCGGCCACAGAAGCAACAGCAGCAGCAGGCACAGCAGCAACAGCAGCAGCAGGCACAGCAGCAACAGCAGCAGCAGCCGCAGCAGCAACAGCAGCAGCAGCAGCAGACCTCTGTCGGTGTGCATGCGGGCCTGGTGCAGCTGCTGCAGGTTGTGCAGCAGCTGCTGCGTGTCTTTCGCGGGGCTGTCCGCGTCTTCGTCGGAAAATGGAAAAGGAACAAAAGGAGAAGGAAGAACAGAATAAAGAGAACCCAAAAAGTAGCAAAACAAGTGCAGCAGCACGCCGCTGCCTTCGGGCACGAAGGCTGCGCGCGCGCTGCGGCGAAGGGCGCCCTCGAGCTGCTCCTGCGGGGCAAAACGGAAGAAATCCGCAAAATAAAACCACAAAATGCAATTAAAAATCAAATAAAAAGTCTAATTGGCTTTTAAATGAACAAAAAACCAAAAAATGGCGTTTCGGAATGCGCGCGGGGTGTTCAGTTTGGGGTGTACAGACACCTCAACTGGAGCAAGTGCAGCAGAGCTGCAGTGCTCGAGTGACCCCCAAAAGAGGAAATGAAAGGAAATAAACGCCAAATTCTTCAATTAAAAGATTAAATTGAAATAATAATTAATTTAATTATCCAATTGAGTTGAAATTTAAATGAAATGACGCACAAATGCAGCAGCGGGAGAAACCACTGGCTCCCTGTCAAGAACAGGCAGCAGCGGCAGCAGCGAAGAAGCAACTGAGGCGACTACGGGGTCTTCTTCTCCAGCCTGAATCCCTCAAAGAAAATAATAAAATAATAAATAAAAATAAATAAATAAATAAAATAAATAAAAAATTAACAAATTAAACAAATAATTAACTGCATGCAGACGCATGCGCAACAAAAGGAAAGAAAGCAGCCCAGCCAGCAGCCAGCCCGCACAACTGCAGCAGCAAAACTGCAGCAGCAAAACTGCAGCAGCAAAACTGCAGCAGCAAAACTGCAGCAGCAAAACTGCAGCAGCAAAACTGCGGCAGCAAAACTGCAGCAGCAAAATTGCAGCAGCAAAAGCGGAGAAAGAAAAGCAATTCGGAAGCAAATAAACCCCAAGCAAGCAGCAGCTGGAAGAAGAAAGAAAAGAAAAAAAATAAATTTGAAATCCAAAAATACCTTTTCCAGTTCCCTCACAGCCGCCCCCACCGGCAGGTGTCTAGACACCGCAAAGTCCAAACTCGAAAGAGCAGCGCCGACGCGGCTGGCGGCGACTGCGGTGTTCAGACGGCTCACCAAGTCCCCGAAGGCCTGCGCAAACCCTAAACCCTAAACCCTAAACCCTAAACCCTAAACCCTAAACCCTAGGCCCTGGCCCCTGCGGAGCGGCTGGCGGGCGCGAGCGCTGCGGCCTTCGCCTCTGCAGCTGAGGGTTTAGGGTTTGCGGCCGCCCTGTCCCGCCGGCGCGGGCGAGGGCTTCGCACGAGGGTTTAGGGTTTAGGGTTTAGGGTTTAGGGTTTACGTGGTGCAGCTCGTCTACTTGCGTCTCCAGCGCATGCATCTGTTCCTTCGCCTCAAACATAAACCCTTTCATCTCTTCTTGCTTTGCAAAAAAATCCCAAGTCCGCGCCTCCACCAGCGACAGAGCTGCCTCCGCCTGACGCAAACCCTAAACCCTAAACCCTAAGCCCTAAACCCTAAACCCTAAACCCTAAACCCTAAACCCCGATTCTTTCTTACCTGCGCTTCAAATGCGTCCCTCGCATCTTGCCGGAACTGCAAAGACCGCCCAAATACAAACAAAATCCCAAACCCTAAACCCTAAACCCTAAACCCTAAACCCTAAACCCTAAACCCTGAACGCCCCGAAGACCGGGACGGCTCCCAGAGCTGAGGGTTTAGGGTTTAGCCACTAGGGTTTAGGGTTTAGAAGTGACCTGCTGCACTGCTGCGCGTTTTGCTGCTTCAATTTGTTCTTCTCTTTCTTTTTTTTGAGTTTTTGTGTCTCCTTTCAAAACCCTAATTAAGAGACTTTGCTGCAGCGCATGCGCATGCAGCTGCTGCTGCGGCAGCGCCCGCAGCCGCTGCGCCTCTGCTGCTGCGAACGCCTCCGTGTCTGCGTCGCTCCCAGCAGCAGCAGCAGCAGCTGCTGCTGCTGCTGCTGCTGCAGCAGCCACACATGCAGCCACAGACAACTTATTTCAAAAAGACAAGCAAATGCAACAGAAGCAAAAGGAACAGCAGCAGCAGCAGCAGCAGCACAAACGAAGCATACTGGCCCAATGAATCAAGCCACCCAGCAGCAGCAGCAGCAGCTGCAGCAGCAGCAGCTACAGCAGCAGCAGCTGCAGCAGCAGCAGCAGCACAGTGAGAGGTAAGTGATGCAGCTTAAGATTTTGTTTGTTAATATTTTAATTGATTAATTAGAGAGTGGCGCACAAGGGGACAGCAAGAAGTCTTCGTATGAGGGTGCTGCTGCTGCTGCTGCTGCTGCAGCTGCTGCTGCTGCTGCTGCTGCTGCTGCAGCTTCCTGCTCTTCTCGCTCCTGACGCGGCTCTTCCTCTTCCTGTTGAGGCTCTTGCTCTTGCTCTTGCTGCTGATGCTGCTGTTGCTGCTGCTGCTCTTGCTGCTCTTGCTGCTGCTGCTGTTCTTGCTGCTGCTGCTGCTCGTACTGCTGCTGCTGCTCTTCCTGCTGCTGCTGCTCGTGCTGCTGCTGCTGCTGCTCTTGCTCAAGCGGCTGCTGCTCCTGAGCATAGAGAGCTCTACGCAGGGCTTGTCCCTTCGTCTCCAGCAAAACTGTCTTTGCTGCTGCTGCTGCTGCTACTTCCGCTGCTGCTTCTGCTTCTGCTGCTGCCTCTGCTGCTGCGGATTCTGCTGCTGCTGCTGCTGCTGCTGCTGCTGCTGCTCCAGAGCCGCTCTTTACTGCGTCAGCTTCTGCGTCTGCTGCTGACTTCGCTGAGACATTGCCAATTGCTGCCTCGTAAGCTGTTGCTGCTGCTGGTGCAGCAGCAGCAGCTGCTGCTGCTGCTCTGTCAGCAGCAACAGTAGCTGCTCTTCCTGCTAGGGGCTGCTGCTGCAGCACGAGCTGCAGCGCCTGCAGCGAAGACTTTTGCTTCGCCCTGTCATCCTCAGCAGCAGCAGCAACAGCAGCAGCTGCTGCAGCAACTGCTGCTGCTGCTGCCAGCAGCTTCAGGCCGCGTTTTGCTTTGCCTGCTTTGCGGCGGGTCCCTGCTGCTGCTGCTGCTGCTGCTGCTTCGCTAGGAGAAGCAGAACCTCCTGCAGGGCTCTGCATCCCCTGCTGCTGCGGCAACTTGCTGTTTGCTGCTGCTGCTGCTGCTGCTGCTGCTGCTGCTGCTGCTGCTGCTGCTGCTGCTTCAGCTTTCATATCTGAGGCCTTGGCAGCTCCTGCAGCGGGAACTTGTGTTGAGGAGAATCTGCTGCTGCCCCAGCCAGTACCCCTCGCGGGCCCCAAACGCAGACTAAGGGGGCCCCCCGGGGGGCCCCCAGGGGGCCCCCACAGGGAGGCCCCCCAGGGGGCCCCTGGGGGCCCCCCCTGTGCTGCAATAGGCAGCCGAGCCGAAGCAAGGGAGAGGCAAAGGGGCCCCTGTGGGGCCCTCTGCCGCAGCAGCGCGAGCTTGCTGCTGCGAGCTGAGACGGGGGGCCCCCACCTCATGGTCCTGCATGCAGCGAGGGTTTAGGGTTTAGGGTTTAGGGTTTAGTCGGGGGGCCACGGACGCCTGGAAGGCGCGAGGGAACAGAGTTTTAGAAAGAAACAAATAAGAAGCAAAGAAGGAGGGGGAAATGCTTTGGGGCTGCTGCTGCTGTCTGTGGTGTATGCACACTAGGGCACATGCACGCTCTGTTGCATGCGAGCTGCCGCCGCCTTTTCCTTTTTATTTATTTTTAAATTAAATTATTTAAATTAAATCCAAACTCGAAAGTAAATCTAATCTTTTGCTTCTATTTAATTGCCTTGCGCCTGGCTGCAGGCGACAGAGGCGAAGCCAGAGCTGCCTAGACACCTGAAGTACGCGGCTGAGATGCAGCGGGGCTGCTGCTGTTTCTCCTCAAATTAATTATTTAAATGCAAATAAATATCAAAATATTTATTTCTGCATTTATTTTCTTTGTTTCCCCCGCGAGTTCCTTCAAATCTTTCCGCGCGCGCTCCAGCTGGGGTGTACAGACACCTCAAGCTAGCCGCCGCCTCTGCTGCTTGCGCTGCTGCTCGCCACTTCTTTCTTTTCTGCCTTTCTTTTGGCCCTTTATTCATTTTCGCGAGCACTTAGCCTCTTTTTCTTCATATTTAATTAAAACACAAGAAAGAAAAGCTGCAACAATACTAGAAGCGCTCCTTCACAGCGCCTTGAGTCGCAGCACCGCCGCAGCAAACGCAGCACCACTAGCAGCAGCAGCAGCAGCAGCAGCAGCAGCAGCAGCCTAGCTGCGAGGCCAGTCAACAGCAGCAGCACTTAGAGGAGGTGTGAGGACATTAGTTAAATGCTGTAGGCCTTAGACTTTTAAATAGGAGTGCCCTGGGGGCCCACGGTGAACCCTGGCAGGGGCCCCTTTGCAGCGTTTCTGGGCTGCTGCTGCTGCAGGCGCAACTGCTGCTGCTGCTGCTGCAGGCGCATCTCCCTCTGCTGCTGCTGCTCATCGCTGCTGCTGCTGCTGCTGCTGCTGCGGGCGTATGGGCCTGGCTGCTGTGGGGCCCCACAAGCGAGGCCCTCTGTTGCTGCCCCTGTGGGGCCCCTGTGTACCCTCTGGGGCCCCCCGGGGGCCCCTCTGGGGCCCCCCACTAGGGCCTTCTGCTGGGGGCCCCCAGAGGGTTTTAAAGGGCCTTTGGGGCCCTTTTAAAACCCTCGAAGTTCCCCCTTTGGGCCCTTACCGGGGGCCCCCAAGTACCTCTTTGGGGCCCCTCATGGGGGCCCTTACCGGGGGCCCCCAAGTACCTCTCTGGGGCCCCTCACGGGGGCCCCCACTGGGGCCTGTGGGGCCCCGGAAAAAGCCAAAAGGGGCCTTTCAGTCCCATTTAAAAAGTCCTTTTCGGCTCTTCTAAAAGCCCTTTTTGTCTCCTCTAAAAAGTCCTTTTATTCTCCTCCAAAATGCCCTTTTTATCTCCTCCAAAAAGTCCTTTTTGTCTCCTTTTAAATATCCTTTTGGGCCCCTCTAGGAGCCCCCAAGGGGCCCCTCCAGGGGCCCCCTGGGGCCCCTGCAGGGGCCCCTTGGGGCCCCACTAGGGGCCTCTAGGGGCCCCAAGAGGGTCTTTTTGGTTTCTTTTGGGGTCCTTTGGGCCCCTTAAAAGGCCCCTTTAGGGTTTAGGGTTTTGGGGGAGTCCTAGGGTTTAGGGTTTAGACCTGGGTGTGCATTTGCATGCAGCCACCTGTGCGCGAGAGCAGGGCCAGCCGAAACCCTAAACCCTCAACAGCAAACCGCCCAGCAGCAGCAGCAGCAGCAGCAGCAGGAAGCTGCTGTTGCTGCTGGTTGGGGCCTGGCTGGGCTCTGAGCAGCAGCAGCAGCAGCAGCAGCAGAAGCAACAGTTGCAGCAGCAGCGGTTCTGGTAGAACCCAGGCTGGGATCTGTCCACAGGCAGCAGGTGCAGCAGCAGCAGCAACAGCAGCAGCAGCAGCAGCAGCAGCAGCAGCAGGAGCAGGATCGCTAGGCCGGCCAGGCCTCTTAGAAGCTAAAATGCTGCTTTCTCAGCGGACGGGGGTGACAAGGCTACGCAGAAACCCTAAACCCTAAACCCTAGAATCTAAACCCTAAACCCTGATGCCCAAACCCTAAACCCTGAGAGACAAACCCTAAACCCTGAAAAGCCCAACAGAGAACACGTGCACTGCCTCTTGTGGACAGCTTAACCCCCAGTCTCTACAAAGTGGCTCTCCCACAAACCCTAAACCCTAAACCCTAAACCCTAAACCCTACCTCGGGGCTCCCAAGAAAGAATACTGGAGTCTGGAAGCTCCGAAATGCATTTAAGAAAACCCTCGAGAAAAACAAATGTCGAAAAGGCCTCGGCTGTCTGTACACCGCGGCAGGCAAGAGGTGTACGTGCACCCAACCCCAAACCCTAAACCCTAAACCCTAAACCCTAAACCCTAAACCCTAATTAGCAGGCATGAGAATTTCTGTCTCGAGGCCAGGCTCTTTTTCTTGGTACTTTATGGACAAGGAGTTCACGCAGTGCCGCTCGTTGGTCCGCGTAAACCTGCGAAGAGAAAACCCTAAACTCTAAACCCTAAACCCTAAACCCTAAACACATGCCAAACCCTCAGCACGCCCTACTTCCACTATAAACCCTAAATCCTCAACAAACCCCAAAACCCCAACAGACACTTCCGCCACAAAACCCTCAGCAATGAGATGCACGATGGACCCAAACCCTAAACCCTAAACCCTAAACCCTAAACAGCCCCAAACCCTCGAGAAAGCCTGCTGCCACTAAACCCTAACTAACGCGACAATCGACGAACCCAACTGCAGGCGAGGCCAAGGCTAGGGTTTAGGGTTTAGCAGACGCAGCTAAGAAGGAACGTTCAGGGTTTGAAACAACGAAACTAGGGTTTAGGGTTTAGGGTTTAGGGTTTGGAGATACCCCTCGCCTGTGAACACGTGGCCCAAGTGGCCGCCGCAGGCGCTGCAGATTATCTCCCAGCGCCTCATGCCCCCACTAAGGTCTAGCACAGCTTTAACTTTGCCTGAGGCACAAACCCTAAACCCTAAACCCTAAACCCTAAACCCTAAACCCTAAACCCTGACTTTGGTCAGCGGCTCCGTGAACATTGCGGCCCTCCGAAGCCTACAGGGCCGCGCGAACGCCGAAAGAAGCATCGCCTCCGGGCCAGCTTAGGGTTTAGGGTTTAGGGTTTAGGGTTTAGGGTTTAGGGTTTGAGGGACCTTTGTAAACTTTGTCAAAAGCTGGCCAGCCGCAGCCGGATTTGAATTTGCTGCTGGCGGGGAAAAGAGGGGAGAGGCATCCGCGGCAAACAAAGCAGCCCTGAGGAGGGTAGAAGCGATCATACTCTCCTGCACACAAACCCTAAACCCTAAACCCTAAACCCTAAACCCTAAACCCTAAACCCTAAGCCCTAAACCGTTTTTCCGTGGCTGTAAACGCCAGGCTCGGAGGCGCAAGCTCTGGAGCAGAAGGCATGCGGTGAAGCAGCGAACGGCCGGCTGCAGATTGAAGTGGGGTTTAGGGTTTAGGGTTTAGGGTTTAGGGTTTGGGGCTTGCCGCTGCCTGCGGGCTCTGTGGCCTTCTCCCTCAGGACTCTGTATTCCTCTCCTGCGAGCAGCAGCAAAACGATTCATGAAAAAGAATTGATTTAAATGCATTTATTTCAAATTGATTTGCCAAAATTCATTTCTAAATTCATTTTAAATTCATTTTAAATTCATTTTAAATTCATTTTAAATTCATTTTAAATTCATTTATTTACTTCTGAAGTAATAAGATCGCCCCCAGCGAGCTCTCCGACACCAGGGTTTAGGGTTTAGGGTTTGCAGACTTTAGGGTTTAGGGTTTACAGCTTCGCTTTGGTTACGCGAGCTTGTACGCCCCTGGAGTAGCACACGCACTTGGTGTGTGCGTACAGGTCGTGAGGGTTTAGGGTTTAGGGTTTAGGGTTTACAGTGTTCATGTTCATGATTCTGTTTTTGCCAGTTAACTTGAACAGCTGAATCTCCGGAGTCTGAGGACTTTGACTTTCTCTGAAAAGCCTTTTAATGGCTTTAGTGCTGCTAAGAAAGCAGAAAGCAGTGAGTGTTCAGGAGGCAGTTACTAGTTAAGATCTGGCGCCATTCATCTTCGGTCTTGGGCTGAGGCGGCGGATCTGCCATGGTTGCAGCGGTGAGAAAGCCTGAAAAGGAGAAAAAGGGAATTAATTGGCAGAAGTGGAGGAAAATAGAGAAAAGGAAGGCTGGAGGAGGTCAAACTTGCAAAAATGCGGCAGCAGGAGTTGCGGAGGTGCGAGCGGCGCATGCTGAGGTGTACGTACACCCGAACCCGCCGCGGCGAATCTGCAAAAATTCGACTTTCACTTCTTTTTTAGTGCAAATAAAAGCGAAATGGAAGCAAAAAAATGCAAACTGAGTTTAGATTCAACTGGGCTGAGCCGGAGGCCCCGAGACTGCCGACCTGGGCGACAGAAAGCGCCGCTGAGTGGCCCGAGTTGAGAACTTGAAAATTTGCCGAAGTTCGAAATGGAAGAAATGAATTTGGAAGAAAAGAAAAGAGAAAAAGAAGAACAAAGAAGTCGCATTTGAAACGCAGCTGCGGCGCGGCGGCGCTGGCGGCTGCGGCCTTCTGCTGCTGGGCGCTGCGGGAAGATCTTGAAAAAGAAAAAAGAAAACTTGAATTAAATTCCGAAACTTGAATTTAAATTCAAGTTTCTGAATTCCACTTCTTCTCGAAAGCCCGCCGCTGCAGCTAGCGCCCGGCCCGCCCCGAAGCCGACGGGGCTCCCGAGCCGCTGCTGCGTGTCTTTGCTCGAAGATCTTTTTGCAAAAGAGTCTTTTAGAATTAAAAGAGTTCTTTGCATTTCAAATTCAAGTGCTGCTTCCTGCGCCTCCAGCAGCAGCAGCAGCAGCAGCAGCAGCAGCAGGACTCTGCAGCGTCCTCGCAGCCTCGCTTCGACAATGGCAGGTGCTGCCAGCACTTGCGAAAAGTTGCACTTTAGCGTTTCCAGCTTTCGAGTAGCTGCAGTGAGCGTTTCTGTGCTGCAGAGGCTCTGCTGTGCATCTTCTCGCGATTTGCTGCTGCTGCTGCTGCTGCTGCTGCTGCTGCGTCTGCTGCAGCAGCTCACCACTTCGACTGCGTCGTCTTGGGCGGCGGCAGCGGCGGAATTGCCTTCGCCAGAAGAGCTGCAACTTATGGGGCGAAAGTGGCGCTGGTGGAGCGCAGCCGCATGGGGGGCACTTGTGTGAACGTGGGCTGCGTGCCGAAAAAGGTGAACGGGCGGAAACTGGGCAAACGGGGGCCGATTTCGAATTTTCTTTTGCAAAAATGGACTTATTTTTGTTTTTTTGATCCATTTTAGTGTTTAAATTTCGAAAAAAGCGGCGCTTTCCGTGAAGATCGCGCCCCCGGCTCGCGTTTCTGGGGTGTACGTACAGATCATGTGGTGCGCCGCGAACGCCTTCGAAAGCCTGCACGGCATGAGGCACTTGGGAGTGGAATTCAGCGACCCTCCGCGTTTAAATTGGCAAAAACTTGTGCAAAATCGCGAAAATTACATCAAAAGACTCAACCGCATTTACGAGGACAACCTCGACAAGTCCCAAGTCCGCCGCTTCTACGGCTTTGCAACTCTCAACCCCCAAAACCACTCCGACGGCCAACACGTCGTGCTGGTCAATTCTTCGAAAGAAGAAGCAGCAAAGGGCGCGGAGCCTCTGCAGCGGCTCACTGCCAAGCACGTGCTCATTGCCACGGGTCCGCGACCCGCCCTGCTAGGGTTTAGGGTTTAGGGTTTAGGGTTTAGCGCTTTGGATTAGGGTTTACGGTTTGGGGTTTAGGGTTTGGGGTTCGGGGCTTTGGACTAGGGTCTAGGGTTTAGGGTTTGGGGTTTCTGGCGTATCCCAGCGTCCTGCGCATTTCTGTTTTCCACTTCGCCTTTGCGCCTCCGCCGCTGCTGCTGCTGCTGCTGCTGCTGCTGCTGCTGCTGCTGCTGCTGCAGGCGGTCGTCCGAGCCCGCTGGGCGTGCCTGGGGGCGAGTTGTGCATCGACAGCGCGGGTTTTTTCGCGCTGCAGCAGCAGCCGCGGAAAGTGGGCGTTGTGGGCGGCGGCTATATTGCTGTTGAACTTGCTGCTGTGCTGCAGTCGCTGGGGTCGGAGACGCACTTCTTTTGCAGGCAGCACGCGCCTCTCCGCAAGTTCGACTCCATGATTCAGCAGCAGAACCTCGCCAACATGCGCCGCCTCGGCATCCAGGTCTGCTGCTGCTGCTGCTGCTGCTGCTGCTGCGCTGCTGCTGCTGCTGCTGCTGCTGCTGGTGTGCTGCTGCTGCTGCTGCTGCTGCTGCTGCTGCTGCTGCTGCTGCTGCTGCTGCTG